TAATAGCCATTGATGGACCTATCCTCCATGAACTTATCTAGTTCTTTTTTGAAACCTGTTATAATCCTGGCCTTCACAATATCCTCTGGCAACGAGTTCCACAGGTTGACTGTGGATTGTGTGAAAAAATACTTCCTTTTGTTTGTTTTAAACCTGCTGCCTGTTAATTTTGTTTGGTGACCCCTAGTTCTTGTGTTATGAGAAGCAGTATATAACGCTTCCTTATCTACTTTCTCCACACCAGTCATGATTGTATAGACCTCTATCATATCCCCCCTTAGTTGTCAATTTTCCAAGCTGAAAAGTCCCAGTCTTATTAATCTCTCCTCATATGGCAGCCGTTCCTTGCCCTTCATCATTTTTGTTGCCCTTTTCTGAACATTTTCCAATTCCAATATATCTTTTTTGAGATGGGGCAACCACATCTGCACACAGTATTCCAGATGTGGGCCTACCATGGATTTATATAGAGGCAATATGATATTTTCTGTCTTATTATCTCTCCCTTATTATCCCTTTCTTAATGATTCCCAACAGTCTGTTCGCTTTTTTGACTCCCGCTGCACATTGAGTGGATGTTTTCAGAGAACTATCCACAATGACTCCAAGATTTCTCTCTTGAGTGGTAACAGCTAATTTAGACCCCATCATTTTATATGTAGAGTTGGGATTATGTTTTCCAATGTGCATTACTTTGCATTTATCAACATTGAATTTCTTCTGTCATTGGTTGCCCAGTCACCCAGTTTTGTGAGATCCTTTTGTAGCTCTTTGCAGTCTGCCTGGGACTTAACTGTCTTGAGTAGTTTTGTAGTTTTGTAGTTTGCAAATTTTGCCATCTCACTGTTTACCCCTTTTCCCAGATCATTTATGAATATGTTGAACAGGACTGGGACCAGTACAGACCCCTGGGGGACACCACTATTTACCTCTCTCCATTCTGAAAACTGACCATTTATTCCTACCCTTTTTTCCTATCTTTTAACCAGTTACCAATCCGTGAGAGGACCTTGCCTCTTATCCCATGACTGCTTACTTTGCTTAAGAGCCTTTGGTGAGGGACCTTGTCAAAGGCTTTCTGAAAATCTAAATACACTATATCCACTGGATCCCTCTTGTCCACATGCTTGTTGACCCCCTCAAAGAATTCTAGTAGACTGATGAGGCATGATTTCCCTTTAGAAAAACCATGTTGACTCTTCCCCAACAAATTCTGTTCATCTACGTGTCTGACAATTTTGTTCTTTACTATAGTCTCAACCAGTTTGCCTGGTACTGAAGTCAGGCTTACCGGCCTGTAATTGCTGCGGTCACGTCTGGAGCCTTTTTAAAAAATTGATGTCACATTACCTATCCTCCAGTCATTTGGTCCAGAAGCTGATTTAAAAGTGATCGTTTACAGGTGACAGTTAATAGTCCTGGAATTTCACATTTGAGTTCCTTCAGTACTCTGGGGTGAATCCCATCTGGTCCTGGTGACTTATTACTGTTGAGTTTATCAATTTGTTCCAGAACCTCCTCTGATGACACCTCAATCTGGGACAGTTCCTCAGAAGTGTCACCTAAAGAGAATGGCTCAGGTTTGGGAATCTCCCTCACATCCTCAGCCATGAAGACCGATGCAAATAATTCATTTAGTTTCTCCACAATAGCCTTATCGTCCTTGAGTGCTCCTTTAGCATCTCGATTGGCCAGTGGCCCCACTGGTGGTTTAGCAGGCTTCCTGCTTCTGATGTACTTTAAAAAATTTTTGCTATTAATTTTGAGTGTTTGGCTAGCTGTTCTTCAAATTCTTTTTTGGCTTTCCTAATTATATTTTTACACCTCATTTGCCAGAGTTTATGTTTCTTTCTATTTTCCTCTCTAGGATTTAACTTCCACTTTTTAAAGGATGCCTTTTTTGCCTCCCACTGCTTCTCTTACTTTGTTGTTTAGCCACAGTGGCTCTTTTTTGGTTCTCTTACTATGATTTTTAATTTGGGGTATACATTTAAATTGAGCCTCTATTACGGTGTCTTTAAAAGGTTTCCATGCAGCTTGCAGGGATTTCACTTTTGGCACTGTACCTTTTAAATTCTGTTTCACTAACCTCATTTTTGTGTACTTCCCCTTTCTGAAATTAAAAGCTACAGTTTTGGGCCGCTGTGGTGTTTTCCCCACCACAGGGATGTTAAATTTAATTATATTATGGCCACTATTACCAAGAGGTCCAGCTCTATTCACCTCTTGAACCAGCTCCTGTGCTCCACTTAGGACTAAATCAAGAATTGCCTCTTCTCTTGTGGGTTTCAGGACTAGCCGCTCCAAGAAGCAGTCGTTTAAGGTGTCGAGACACTTTATCTCTGCATCTGGCCCTGAGGTGACATGTACCCAGTCAATATGGGGATAATTGAAATCCCCCATTATTACTGATTTTTTTCATGTTAATAGCCTCTGTAATCTCTCTGAGCATTTCACAGTCACTCTCACCATCCTGGTCAGGTGGTCAGTAATAGATCCCTACTGCTATATTCTTATTAGTCAAACATAGAATTACTATCCACAAAGATTCTGTGGTACACTTTGGTTCATTTAAGATTTTTACTTCATTTGATTCTACGCTTTCTTTCACATATAATGCCACTCCCACCCGCACGACCTGTTCTGTCCTTCCGATATATTTTGTACCCTGATGTTACTGTGTCCCATTGACTATCCTCATTCCACCAAGTTTCTGTGATGTCTGTTATATCAATATCCTCATTTAATATGAGGCTCTCTAGTTCACCCATCTTATTATTTAGACTTCTAGCATTGGCATATAAGCACTTTAAAAACTTGTCACTTTTTAACTGTCTGCCATTACATGATGTAATTGAATGGGACTCTTTTTCATTTGACTGTTTCTCATCAGATCCTACCTGTATTTTATCATCTTCCATCCTCTCCTCCTTACTAGGACATAGAGAGTCTCCATTAGTAGATCCTTCCCTAAGGGATGTCTCTGTCTGAACCATGTGTTCCTCCACACCTGTCGGCTTTCCCCCAGCTCTTGGTCTAAAAACTGTTCAAGGACCTTTTAAATTTTAAGTGCCATTTAAAAGCCTTACTCAAGTCAAAATATACCCAATCCACAAGGCTTGTCAAAGAAGGCTTCAGGTTGGTTTGACATGATTTGTCATTTTGTCATGTTGGTTTAACTGGGTGTTTATCCTTTTAACAAATTTGTGTCCGTCCCCACCCCCACCATCTTTTCACTGCTGTCTCTGTCTGAGCAGGCACAGGAAACGTTAATCTGCTAACGAATGTGTTTCAGGGGGTGTGACGCTGTATGGAATCTGGGGGATACTTTAGGTTATTGTGACTACCAGGATTATAAAATTGCAATGAGTTATGCCAGATATGCCATGTGAGGCATCTGCAAAAATATCATGATTTGTTTATATGTTTGTATCACCTTTTGTATTATGTGTTATAGATAGGTCTGTATTTCAGACTTGTTGTATGCTTCTGGGTGTCACCCCCAGACAATTGACCCATTGAGAGAAGGCAGGTACATCTTATGACTCAGCAAGGCCTGCAGGGACAGGCCTATGGACAGAACTCTGAGGCTTTCAAGCCATGTGCTGGGCAGCTTGTGTTTGGAACAAAGGCCACATGGCAAAAGACTATAAAAGGCAACTGCAGCTCCTCCAGCTTGTCTTCAGTCCTGCTTCTTACCTCTGGAGGGTAAGATCCAAACCTAGACTGACCTGGCAATGTGGCTGGCCCTTTGGGGTCAGAAGAACATTTTGTATATGTGAGCAGAGTTTAAAATAACTTCTCAGTGTACTGGACCTAGATGTTGATTGGGAGCCAGAGACAGGAGGGCAATAAGGGGACTGTGTGATTCCTTTTTTGCTTCGTGATAACCAGTGTGGGGGATCAGAAGCGCAGTTTGTGACTGGTTGGGAGGTTTGACTTCAGTGTTACCTACCTGTCTTGCAAGTATCTGCTCTCCCTTTTGCAGCCAGCCCTGACCTTGGCATCTCCAGTGAGGGCTGCTCCCAGGCACCTCCAGTCTCAGGGGGTTCCCCTGTACTGAAGTGAGTTAGCTAATGTCCGTGAACATGCCCAGAACTGTATAAGAAGGGGAAAGAATTGTTAATGCTTAGAAATATTTTTTCACACAACTCTCTGGATCCCATGAGCCGTTCTGCCTCGTCACTGCTCTCCTTGCCTTGCTGCTCATACAGGTTATGCATGCTAGGTGCCGGGCAGCGGGTAGTTCTTTCAAGTGCCTTCCCCTTTAAATGGGCCTGGCCCTGTTCCACCCCACCCCGCTCCTGGGGCTGTGTCCACATGCTGCAGCAGGCTGGACATGGCACTGCCTGCCGACAGCTGGGGAAGTGCTTCCCCTCGGGGCTTCTCCTGTTCTCGGGGCAGAGAGGGGCTGGTGGCTCGGAGTGGGCGTGCTCCTGAGGGGCCTGGGGAGTGTTTGGAGGGGGCGTTATCACAGGTGCTGGAACTACGGGTGCGGGGGGGGCTGCCGCACCCCCTCGCTTGAAGTGGTTTCCATCATGTCCAGGGTTTGCAGCTTGGTTCAATGGCCCTGAGCACCCCCACTGTGCAAATTGTTCCAGCACCCCAGGGTGTTATGACAGGGGGAGTTTGTCTTCATCCTGCCTCAGTCTCATCCAGCCTCTCCTCCTCGGCTTCAGGCAAACAATTGGTGTGAGGATGGGGAGGGGTTAGGCCGGAAGGGGAGTGTCCTGAAGAAGAGCTCTGGCTTGAGAGGTGAGCTACCATATGAAACCACTTGCACCTGCTTGCTCTAGTTAATGTTCTAGGTGTAATGGGCGTGTTAATGACTTGTCTGAGAGATATTTAGTAGGGAGTGCGTTTCCCCATCAAAATCACAGAGGGAGCAAAGTTAATAAGGCTCAGGGGCATGGACCAGAAATGGTGAGCCGTGCTTATTTATAGGACTCCCGTACTCTGCCCCAGGCCCAGAATCGACTCAGCCATTTGTTTGTCTTCAGGTGCCAGTGACATTTGAAGACGTTGCTGTCAGGTTCTCAGCAGAGGAGTGGGAGATCCTGGAGGGATGGCAGAAGGAGCTTCATAAAGAAGTGATGGAGGAGAATTACCAGTTGCTGATCTCGCTAGGTAAGGAGCAGCATGTTTTATGTCTGCATGGAGGGCTGTGGGCCATTACCTGGCATTGCAGTTACAAATGTGTGTCTTTCCGGCTCTGCCGACATTAAACCAAGTGCAGGAACTGTATTTAAACTTCTCTCCAGCTACGCTGGTTTTCAGTGGTCTGCATAGGTAGGGCCAAACTGTCCCTGTCTACACTCATAGATTCATGGATTCCAAGCCCAGAAGGGAACACTGATCTCTTGTCAGGCCACAGGACTTCCCCCAAAATAAGCCCTGTAGCAGATCTTTTAGAAAAACCTCCCATCTTGATTTGAAAATTGCCAGTGATGGAGAATCCACCCCGACTCTTGGTAAATTGTTCCAGTAGTTAATTACTCTCCCTGTCAAAAATTTACACCTTATTTCCAGTCTGAATTTGCCCAGTCTTCAGCTTCCAGCTATTGCATTGTGTTATACCTTTCTCTGCTAGATTGAAGAGCCCATTATCAAATATTGGTTCCCCATGTAGGTACCTATAGGTTGTAATCAAGTCACCCCTTAATCTTCTCTTTGTTAAGTAAAGTAGATTGAGCTCATAGTGTCTGTCACTCTAAGCCCAGTTTTCTAATCCTTTCATCATTCTCAGGCTCCTCTGTGACCCCTCTCCAGTTTATCAATAGTCTCCTTGAATTGTGGGCACCAGAACTGGACACAGGATTCCAGCCCCGATCGCACCAGGGCCAAATAGAGATGGTAAAATAACCTCTCTGCTCCTACTTGAGATTCCTTTGTTTCTGCATCACAGATCTCATTCCCTCTTTCAGCCACAGCGTCCCATCAGACGCTCCTGTTCGGCGGATTATCCACCACGACCCCCACCTCTTTTTCAGAGTCGCTGCTTCCCGGGACTTAAGTATGGCCTACATTCTCTGATCCTAGAAGAATACATTTACATCTCACCATATTAAACAGCACATTGTTAGCCTGTGCCCAGTTTACCAAACCATTCAGATCTCTCTGAATCAGTGACCTGTCTTCATTATTTACGGCTCCCCCGATGTGTGTGCCGTCTGCAGACCTTATCAGTGACGATTTTGCATTTTCTTCCAGGTCTTTGATAAAAATGTTAAATAGTGTAGGGCCTACAACTGCTTCCTGCGGGCCCCCACTGCAAACAGACTTGCTCAGTGATGATTCCCCATTTACAGTTACATTTTGAGACCTATCAGTTAGCCAGTTTTTAATTAATTTAACACCTGCCATGTTAATTTTATATCATTCTAGGTTTTTAATAAAAATGTTGTGTGGTACCATGTCGAACACCTTACAGAAATCTCAGTATATAACATTCATACTATTACCTGTATCAGCCAAACTTGTAATCTCATCAAAAAAAGATACCAAGTTAGTTTAATAGGATCTGTTTTCCATGAACCCATTGACTTGCTTTAATTACATTACCCTCTTTTAGTTCATTTTTAATCAAGTCCCATATCAGGTGCTTCGTCATCTTGCCAGGGATCCATGACAGGCTGACAGGCCTATAATTACCCAGGTCATTCTGTTTACCATTTTTAAAAACTGGCACAACATTAGCTTTCTTCCAGTCTTCTGGAACTTCCCCAGTGCTCCACCTCTTGTTGAAAATCACCATTAGTAGCCATTGAGTCCCTCAGCCAGCTCTTTTAAAACTCTTGGATGCAAGTTCTCTGGACCTGCTGATTTTAAAATGTCTAACTTTAGTAGCTTCTGATTAACATTCTCCACAGACACTAGTAGAATGGAAAGAGTGTTATCATCACCATATGATGAGACAGCATCATCTGTTTTTCCCCAAATACAAAACAGAAATATTTACTGAACACTTCTGCCTTTTTGGCATTATTGTTGATAATTCTGCCATTTCCATCTAGTAATGGATTGTTTTAGTTCCTAATATATTTAATAAACTTCTTATTGTCCTTAACTCTGTTTTCAATAGATTTCTCCTTGTGTTCTTTTGCTTCCCTTATAAACTTTCTAAAGTTCCTAACTTCTGTTTTATATTCATTACTATCAACTTCCCATTTCTTCTATTTGTTACATATTATTTTTTTATTTTTATAGCTGCCTTTGCTTCCCCTCTAAATTAGGTTTGGTTTTTAACCAGCACAACCTTCTTCCTCGGTTGTGGGATTGAGGCTTTTGGGGCATCTAGTAAGGTATTCTTAAATGATTCCCAAGTATCATTCACCACAACACTAGCCGTGTTTAACCACCTTAGTTACAGGAGTGTTTGTTCTTGCTTGTGTGGGAGATACAGGCTCTATCTATGATACAAGAAGGCCCCCCATCGCTGCAGTAAAGGAGCACCTCACGTTCTTTAACTCGTTAACTTTCACAGCACCCCTGTGTTATTATTTCCATTGTACAGATGAGGCTCAAGGCTACACCGCAGCTCAGGGCTTGTGTCCCAGCTCGAATAGACAGACGCCGCTGGCTCGGCTCGAACTAGCAGTGTGGCCATGGCAGCAGCCCCGACGAGCCACACGGGTATGTGCCCAGGCTGTCAGGCAGAGTAGCTAGCCAAAGCCACCACCCAGGCTGCTGCAGCCACGGGGCTATTTTTAGCATACTAGCCCAGCTGGTGTATGTATGTCGCGCTGAGGGGGGAGTTACCCCTCCCAGCTGCTGTGTAGACGTGCCCGGAGCGACGAAGTGACTTGTCTGGGTCACACGTAAGCATGTCAAAGAAATCTGTATTAACCCTTGTGGCTACGCCCTGGTTCTCTAACGCATTCCTCCCCGGTTTCTTTTCTGCCCATTCCCGGGCAGGAATGAGCTATGTTATAACATACTTTGGCCATAGCTGGGGTGGGGTTTGGTTCTGTAGGGTAGGGCAGTGGCTCTCAACCTTTCCAGACGACTGTACTCCTTTCAGGAGTCTGATTTGTCTGGCGTACCCCGCATTTCACCTCACTTAAAAACCACTTGCTCACAAAATCAGACATAAAAATACAGAAGTGTCACAGCCATGCTCTTATGGAAACGTTGCTGACGTTCTCATTGTTACCATATGATTATCAAATAAATCCATTGGAATATAAACAGCGTACTGACATTTCAGTGTCTAGCATCCAGAGCAGTATAAACCAGTCACTGTCTGCAGGAAATTTCAGTTTGACCTGACTTTGCTGGTGCTTTTTCTGTAGCCTGTTGTAAAACTAGACAAATCTCTAGCTGAGCTGATGCACCCCCGGAAGACCGCCACGTACCCCTAGGGGTACGCGTCCCCCTGGTTGAGAACCACTGGTATAGACGGAACCGTTGGACACTTTTCTTTAGAAGTCTGATTCCGGCACGGTTTTGCCTCGTTCACACAGGCTGAGCGAAACGCACAGAGCTGGAACTATGTTTCAGCTGCAGCTGGTGTAAGACCTGATGGGTGTGGCTGAGAGTTACACACATGTACACACACACACACACACACTACACGAGCATTCATCTCCAAATCCTCCCCTGGCACTAGCATCCCTTCGTTTCCACCGGTGGTAGCCGCAAGGGAGCACTAATGTAAACTGGACACTGATGCTTTGACCGCTGTGTTATCTGACCCTGTCTAGACAGCACCGTGGTGAATACTCTGGCAGCTGGTCTGCACCTCGCTCCTGCTGGTGGAGCTGCACAGGTGGTACCAGGGGTGGGGAACGTGAAGAAAAATGCCAGTGTCCACAAGGCCTCGCCACGCAAACCACAGGCAGCTTCCATTGGCAGTGGCTCATGGGAAGGTTGGGGACGACTCTCCTCCCGCTCACATGGTGGGAACCCTTGGAAGCCAGAATGAGAGGAGAATCCAGTTCCTTCATTTCCTCTCTGATCCATGTGGAGGTCCCTCCTCTGTCCTGAGCTGGGCTGGCGTTTCAAAGCAAAGCTCAGCCCAAACCTATTGCGAAACAAACCCATGAGTTGCCTCTGGTTTGCTGAAGACACTAACGAACGTTACACCAAACCAAGCCTGTACTGTGGCCCTGTAACTAAATCCCGAACCGGGAAGTTGTGGTGCGCTCACGAGTTTCACGGGGAACCCCTCTGGCTCTGACTTCCATTGGGAGGTTTTAATTTCAGCTAAGGCAAATGAGCCATTGAGCAAATACAAAGTCTCTGACTGCGGGAAAGAGCCGTCTCACCCCACTTCCCGCCACCCTCTGCACTGAACCATCTCCATCTCTGGGGGGGCTGTCTCTTCCCTGGCCAGGGGGATTCTGACATTTGAAGTGGCAGGATGTAGAACATAGATAAGTCAGAGTGAAACTGGAAAGGATCCAGAGGCGAGCAACAAAGATGATCAGAGGGAGAGAACACAAGCCATATGGGCAAAGGCTGAAGGGACTGGGTATCTTTAGTTTGGAAAAGAGGAGATTAAGGGGGAACATGATAGTGGTCTTCAGACACTTGAAACTCTACCATAAAAAAGATGGAGAAAAGTTGTTCTCTCTGGCCACAGAGGGCAGGACAAGAGGCCATGGGGTCAACCTACAGCAGAACAGACAGATGAAATCTCAGGAAGAACTGCCTCAGTGTAAGAACGGTAGGACAAAGGAACAGACACCTGGGGAGGTTGTGGAAGCTTCTTCCCTGGAGGTTTTCAAGAGGAGGCTGGAGAGCCGTCCCTCTGGGGTGGTTTAGACACAACAAATCCTGCATCTTGGCAGGGGTTAGACGGGATGAACCTCGCGGTCCCTTCGAATCCTGTGGTTCTGTGATCCTATGAAACATGTCCCCACCCCGGGCAGCAGTACACACCGAGGTTTGCACCATCTCCTGTCCCTGCTTTGCACCATCCTGCCTGACGTGCAGGTCGCCCTGTTTGTCAGCTCCCACCCAGGTCATGTGTTAACGGCCCTGTCCAGGGCTCAGCTGAGCTGTAGCCAGGTTCCCAGACAGCGCCCAGACCGGGCTGGATTCTGTCCCGAGCTGAATGACTCTGCTGGCCGTGGTGGACAGACAAGAACTGGGGAGACTAGGCGGAAGTCACTCTGAGCTCCATGGATGGCCGGCGAGGTGCAAAGAAGCATTGGCCCCGTCCTACTCAGCAGCTTCATTGTTTCTCTGCCCCCGGGACAGCCCCGGTGCCCACCTGGGGTGGCTTTGAGCTCCTGGGTGGCTGCTGGCCCTGCTCGGACTGGCTACTGGTCGCCCGGCCTCTGGCTGGCCTGGGGTAGCTCGCCAGAGCGAGAGTCATTGTGCTGAGTCTTGTTTTCCCTGACAGGTCAGCCAGTTCCCACGCTGGCTCTTCTGGCCCTGACTGCGGAGCGGGAGGCTGCTGGCAGCCAGATCCGCAGCATCTCCGGAGAGCGAGAGCTCGCCAGCAAAGGCGGCAGCTCAGAGGGTGAGTGAGCCCTTCAGTAACCAACACTAAGCCACTGCCCGCCATGCCAGCCCTGGCAGTGGGTAGACTGCAGACGCCTCTGGCTGGCTGGTGTGTCAAGGGATCTACTGCACACCCGTCGCTGGGCTGGCTGAGACCTGACAGCAGGTCCCAGCCCCCCAGAAGATATCGTCTAGACCCAGGGTGTCTGTCTTCTCCTCTCTCCCACCTTCCTGGGGCCCCTTTCCACTGTCCACAGAGGGAGCCCCATGGGGTCCAATAGAGCTACTAGGAACTGACTCTGCCCCCACCTGCCACTTTGGCCCCTATGCACCTCTCTGGCGGTGCCTAGGGGCCGGTGATACAGCCCAAGGGGTCAGGGGAGCATTCCCCCGGTGCAGGCAACCTGGCCCTTTGCAAGCCCCAGCATAGATGGCAGATTGGGGGAGGGAGAAACTCATGGTATTAGGGGGAGTCTGATCCATGCCACAGCCCAAGACAGCTGCTCTGACTTACACTGGGAGCTGTCAGCCCAGAATCTGCAAGCACAGCCCCCTCCTCCGGGGACAGAACGGGACCCTCCGTGGTCAGCTTTCTCCTACCACTACTGAGTAAAGATGGTCTCCTGGTGCGAATCCCACACCAGCAGCCAACAGACCTCCCTGCGGTGAAGTGATGGGAGGCTGCTGGTTCTGCAGCCTGAGGCATTTCATGAGGGTAATAGGAACCATGTGGATGGAGACCACCCCCAAATAGATAAAATTGTGCCCATGGTGACATCCACTATTCCATGCACCCACGTCTTTCTAGGTGAAGAACTGGCCTTTCCCGGGGATGACCCAGATGTGGGTGGATTCTGGGACTCAGGGCAAACAGAAGAGGACGGGTGCCCCACAGGAGATGAGGAAGGTAAGAGATTCCCTGCCCGAGGTGGAAAAGAAGGAAAGAAAGAACTGCTCTTTCCTCAAGTCAGGTGCTGATCACACTGGGCTTCTGGTAAGTTTTTCTCCGTGTCTCAAGCAGGAGAGCGTCAGGGCAGCCTGCATCTTAGCGCACTGATGAAGCTGGTGAAGGAAATCCCAGAATTTCTCTTTGGGAATTCAAAGGCCACTGTGGAGCCAGCTGAGGCTGCCGATAGTGAAGCTGAGATGGGCTCTGAGAGGGCGTTTGCCGACGGTAAGTGGGTACCGTACACTGGGGATAGCACAACCGCAGGGAGAAAGTCCGTGGTTCTGTTTTATTTATGAACCCTGAGCTTGGTTTTAAGGTGCAAGTTGAAAGCAGAGAACGTAGTGGCTTTGTGTATACCTACCTGAGATCCTTTTGTGCACCAGGGATGGCAGGAGGGAAAGCAGGAAATTGCATGAGGGAAAACTGGACTAAAGGATGGTAAAGACTGGCCTCGCTGGCAGAGCAGAGGAGGCATCCGTGGGTCAGTAACATAGAGGAGTTGATAGGTACAGATCTCCTGAGCCTGAGGCCAGAGCCTTTTGCCCACAAGACCATCCATCCTCTCGATTAGTGGTTCACAGATGCCCATCCAATGACAGTGGAGAGGTTTCTCTTTAACACTAGGTCTAAATATCCACTGTCAAAGATCCAGGTGGTTTTATAGGGTTAAAATGAACCCGCCCCTCAGCAACAGGCCCTGAGCTGATGCTGGCTTTGTCTGTCTAGTTAAACCAGAAATAACTCCAGAGAATCCACCTGCCCTTGGCCTGGAGAACTGTTTGGTGGAAGTATCTGTCAATAGACCCAGTAATGCCGACACACAGAGCAGCTGCGAGTCCACCAGCAGCACAGAAGGGGCTCAGCTTGGGAGGCTGTATGCAGAAGGTGAGTCACAGAGGAGTCAGACTATGCTAGTGACGTGGTAGGTACCAAAACTGCCTTGGCAGGCCGACACGTCCCAGAATAGTGCAGTAGGAGTGTGACACAGCTGTCCCGGGTGTGTGAGGGGATGCGGAAGGGTCGGGGCGGGGGGGTCTTAGAATGATAAGGATTTGGGATGGACACGATCTGCTGGGTCCCATCTAGCTCATCCGTTGGGAACAAATCTGAATGAAATTAAATGGCTAGAGCGACAAGGCTTCTCCCCCTTCCTTTGCGACTTGACTCCACAATCTGATAGATCTCATGGGTTCCTGAGATCCAGCCTAAACTTTCCTTTCCTCCGTTCAATTTGGTGACCTGTCCTCACACCCCTTTGGGTCATGCTGAGCATCTCCCATTCCTGCTGGTTCATACCTTCCCATCCCCTGGTGTCACGCCCCCGGTGTCTCTTCCTCATGGCTTAGCCAAACTTGACATCCTGAGGCTGCGTCTTTCCCCCTAAATCACCCCTTCCTCAGCTCACCTGGGTTTCCTTTCCAATTCGTCCATGCCCTTCAGGCCCTGGGGCGCCAGATCTGAATGCCTCATTCCACAGGCACTTTTGTAGAGATGACCTGCTCCGGGGTGTGATGGATCTGTATGTGCAGCCCAGCCTTGCTGGCAGGAGTGTGAAGAGAGAAAAGAGAAGTGCTGGGGGTCAGTGTAAGTTCCTGTAGATTTGACAGGGCTCAGAGACCAACTGCACCACGCTGCCATGGCTCCACATCTCCCGCTGATCTGTTTCTTTTCTGACTATTAACACAGAAGTGTCTCCAGAGAACAGCCCCCTCCAAGGTCTGCTGAACTGCCTGAAGGAAATTCCCATCAACAGACCCCGTCACCCCAACATGCAGAACCCCAGCGCACAAGGAGACGTGGAACACAAGAGAGTGGGGGTGGAGATGAAGAGCTTATGTGCTACGGGTGAGTTAAAATGTCTTAATACCTTAATGCACAAAGGAACAGTATCTTGCTAGGCAGAGCGGAGAGATCAAATACTCTGCTTCTGGCTGTGTGTGGTATAATCAGAGAATGAGCTAGGAGCTGATTGACTGACACTAGGCCCTGGTCTACACTAGGACTTTAGGTCGAATTTAGCAGCGTTAAATCGATTTAAACCTGCACCCGTCCACACAATGAAGCCCTTTATTTCGACTTAAAGGGCTCTTAAAATCGATTTCCTTACTCCACCCCTGACAAGTGGATTAGCGCTTATATCGACGTTGCCGGCTCGAATTTGGGGTACTGTGGACACAATTCGATGGTATTGGCCTCCGGGAGCTATCCCAGAGTGCTCCATTCTGACCGCTCTGGACAGCACTCTCAACTCAGATGCACTGGCCAGGTAGACAGGAAAAGAACCGCGAACTTTTGAATCTCATTTCCTGTTTGGCCAGCGTGGCAAGCTGCAGGTGACCATGCAGAGCTCATCAGCACAGGTGACCATGATGGAGTCCCAGAATCGCAAAAGAGCTCCAGCACGGACTGAACGGGAGGTACGGGATCTGATCGCTGTTTGGGGAGAGGAATCCGTGCTATCAGAACTCCGTTCCAGTTTTCGAAATGCCAAAACCTTTCTGAAAATCTCCCAGGGCATGAAGGACAGAGGCCATAACAGGGACCCGAAGCAGTGCCGCGTGAAATTGAAGGAGCTGAGGCAAGCCTACCAGAAAACCAGAGAGGCGAACAGCCGCTCTGGGTCAGAGCCCCAAACATGCCGCTTCTATGATGAGCTGCATGCCATTTTAGGGGGTTCAGCCACCACTACCCCAGCCGTGTTGTTTGACTCCTTCAATGGAGATGGAGGCAATACGGAAGTAGGTTTTGGGGACGAAGAAGATGATGATGAGGAGGAGGTTGTAGATAGCTCACAGCAAGCAAGCGGAGAAACCGGTTTTCCCGACAGCCAGGAACTGTTTCTCACCCTAGACCTGGAGCCAGTACCCCCCGAACCCACCCAAGGCTGCCTCCTGGACCCAGCAGGCGGAGAAGGGACCTCTGGTGAGTGTACCTTTTAAAATGCTATACATGGTTTAAAAGCAAGCATGTGAAAGGATTACTTTGCCCTGGCATTTGCGGTTCTCCTAGATGTAGTCCTAAAGCCTTTGCAAAAGGTTTCTGGGGAGGGCAGCCTTATTTTGTCCTTCATGGTAGGACACTTTACCACTCCAGGCCAGTAACACGCACTCGGGAATCACTGTAGAACAAAGCATTGCAGTGTATGTTTGCTGGCATTCAACCAAAATCCGTTCTTTATCTCTCTGTGTTATCCTCAGGAGAGTGAGATATAATTCATGGTCACCTGGTTGAAATAGAGTGCTTTTCTTCAGGGGACACTCAGAGGAGCCCATTCCTGCTGGGCTGTTTGCCTGTGGCTAAACAGAAATGTTCCCCGCTGTTAGCCACAGGGAGGGGAGAAGGTTGAGGGGGTAGTCACGCGGTGGGAGGAGGCAAAATGCGACCTTGTAACGAAAGCATATGTGCTATGTATGTAATGTTAACAGCAAGGTTTACCCTGAAAGAGTGTAGCGACTGTTTTATAAAATGTGTCTTTTTAAATACCGCTGTCCCTTTTTTTTTCTCCACCAGCTGCATGTGTTTCAATGATCACAGGATCTTCTCCTTCCCAGAGGCTAGTGAAGCTTAGAAAGAAAAAAAAAACGCACTCGCGATGAAATGTTCTCCGAGCTCATGCTGTCCTCCCACACTGACAGAGCACAGACGAATGCGTGGAGGCAAATAATGTCAGAGTGCAGGAAAGCACAAAATGACCGGGAGGAGAGGTGGCGGGCTGAAGAGAGTAAGTGGCGGGCTGAAGACAGGGCTGAAGCTCAAATGTGGCGGCAGCGTGATGAGAGGAGGCAGGATTCAATGCTGAGGCTGCTGCAGGACCAAACCAGTATGCTCCAGTGTATGGTTGAGCTGCAGCAAAGGCAGCTGGAGCACAGACTGCCACTTCAGCCCCTCTGTAACCAACCGCCCTCCTCCCCAAGTTCCATAGTCTCCACACCCAGACGCCCAAGAACGCGGTGGGGGGGCCTCCGGCTAACCAGCCACTCCACCACAGAGGATTGCCCAAAAAAAAGAAGGCTGTCATTCAATAAATTTTAAAGTTGTAAACTTTTAAAGTGCTGTGCTTAAAGTGCTGTGTGGCATTTTCCTTCCCTCCTCCACCACCCCTCCTGGGATACCTTGGTAGTCATCTCCCTATTTGTGTGATGAATGAATAACGAATGCATGACTGTGAAGCAGCAATGACTTTATTGCCTCTGCAAGCAATGATTAAAGGGAGGAGGGGAGGGTGGTTAGCTTACAGGGAAGTAGAGTGAACCAAGGGGCGGAGGGTTTCATCAAGGAGAAACAAACAGAACTTTCACACCGTAGCCTGGCCAGTCATGAAACTGGTTTTCAAAGCTTCTCTGATGCGTACCGCGCCCTCCTGTGCTCTTCTAACCGCCCTGGTGTCTGGCTGCGCGTAACCAGCAGCTAGGCGATTTGCCTCAACCTCCCACCCCGCCATAAACGTCTCCCCCTTACTCTCACAGATATTGTGGAGCACACAGCAAGCAGTAATAACAGTAGGAATATTGGTTTCGCTGAGGTCTAAGCGAGTCAGTAAACTGCGCCAGCGCGCCTTTAAACGTCCAAATGCACATTCTACCACCATTCTGCACTTGCTCAGCCTGTAGTTAAACAGCTCCTGACTACTGTCCAGGCTGCCTGTGTACGGCTTCATGAGCCATGGCATTAAGGGGTAGGCTGGGTCCCCAAGGATACATATAGGCATTTCAACATCCCCAACAGTTATTTTCTGGTCTGGGAATAAAGTCCCTTCCTGCAGCTTTTGAAACAGACCAGAGTTCCTGAAGATGCGAGCATCATGCACCTTTCCCGGCCATCCCACGTTGATGTTGGTGAAACGTCCCTTGTGATCCACCAGAGCTTGCAGCACTATCGAAAAGTACCCCTTGCGGTTTATGTACTCGGCGGCTTGGTGCTCCGGTGCCAAGATAGGGATATGGGTTCCGTCTATAGCCCCACCACAGTTAGGGAATCCCATTGCAGCAAAGCCATCCACTATGACCTGCACATTTCCCAGGGTCACTACCCTTGATATCAGCAGATCTTTGATTGCGTGGGCTACTTGCATCACAGCAGCCCCCACAGTAGATTTGCCCACTCCAAATTGATTCCCAACTGACCGGTAGCTGTCTGGCGTTGCAAGCTTCCACAGGCCTATCGCCACTCGCTTCTCAACTGTGAGGGCTGCTCTCATCTTGGTATTCATGCGCTTCAGGGCAGGGGAAAGCAAGTCACAAAGTTCCATGAAAGTGCCCCTACGCATGCGAAAGTTTCGCAGCCACTGGGAATCGTCCCAGACCTGCAACACTGTGCGGTCCCACCAGTCTGTGCTTGTTTCCCGAGCCCAGAATCGGCGTTCCACAGCATGAACCTGCCCCATTAGCACCATGATGCATGCATTGTCAGGGCCCATGCTTTCAGAGAAATCTGTGTCCATGTCCTGATCACTCACGGGACCGCGCTGACGTCGCCTCCTCGCCCGGTATCGCGTTGCCATGTTCTGGTGCTGCATATACTGCTGGATAATGCGTGTGGTGGTTAATGTGCTCCTAATTGCCAAAGTGAGCTGAGCGGGCTCCATGCTTGCCGTGGTATGGCGTCTGCACAGGTAACTCAGGAAAAAAGGCGCGAAATGATTGTCTGCCCTTGCTTTCACGGGGGGGGGAGGGAGGGAACGGGGGGCTGACGATATGTACCCAGAACCACCCGCGACAATGTTTTAGCCCCATCAGGCATTGGGATCTCAACCCAGAATTCCAATGGGCAGCGGAGACTGCGGGAACTGTGGGATAGCTACCCACAGTGCAACGCTCCAGAAGTCGACGCTTGCCTCGGTACTGTGGAAGCGCTCCGCCGAGTTAATGCACTTAATGCACTTAGAGCATTTTCTGTGGGGACACACACACTCGAATATATAAAACCGATTTCTAAAAAACCGACTTCTATAAATTCGACCTAATTTCGTAGTGTAGACATACCCTAGTTTTACATTGATGTAACTTCAGTGGAGTGACTCCTGATTTACACAGTGTAACTTAATAGCACAGGCCCCCAGGGTACAAAACTACACAGCCCGAATTTGGGGCCCAGTTAAGCCCAGAGTATTTGGGTGCCAGCTGAATAAGAGCCATTCGTTATTCGCGTGTCTGTGTGTCCATCCTACAGGGGTGTCACTGCGTTGGTCAGTATTCTTGCTACGCAGAGGAGAGGTACATGCATGAACCAAAATCCGTGTTGCCGTGTTAACCTTCATATGGCCATGCTCCATCCTTCCTACGCTGCATCCCCTTCTTCGCACTGGTAATTGGAGAGATGTGTCTCAGAAGGGGAAGAAGCGCTGAGGCCATGTTATTTCTGTGATTGTGGATCTTCTCTCCCTTGGTTTCAGGCATTCTAAAATCAAAATGAACCTAGTTTCTGGGTGGACGCTTGGCATTTGAAAGAAGCGTGTGGCCTGTCTACGGTCAAGCCACTGATCCAGTTGGCTGTGTTGACTGTGTTCAGGAGAGAAGGAGCCGAGCCATTCGGCTGCAGGACTTGGACTGAAATTGAGTTTGTTTCTGTAGTTAAAACAGAAGTCACGACAGAGAGTTCCCCCATCCAGGGGCTGACGGGCTGCCCTGTAAAGAGGCCCAGTTATCCAAGCACCCCAACCAGCAGGTCGTCTACCAGCAGCGCACAAGGGGGTGTGGAAGACAGGAGGCTGGAGCTGGGGCTTTGGAGATGTTCTTATGAAGGTATGGTTCAGTCAGGCATAGGATAGGGCCTGACATGTCTCCTGGTAGAGTCCATGGAAAGACACCTGTTGACCTCAGTGTCAGTGGATTGGCCCCTTCTCCTCAGAAGGAGGATGTGGTTTGCAAATGTATACGGTTATAGGATTCGTGTAGGGTGGAGTTTTGGCAGCAGGGTGATGTGCCGTTAGCCGAACACTCTAGGGCTCTGGGATGGATTTGACCTAAAACCTCAGTATGTTCTCAGGACCTGGTCACTCCATTGCTGGGGCTTGCGAGCTGACAGAGGGGTCTGAAATTCTGAGAGATTTGGAGAGAAACCGGAGGGACGTCTGGGGATCAGAGGACAGGACTGCATAACCCCATATGAACACCATTGATTGTTAAACCAAATGAAATAGGTCCAGAGAAGCCCTTATTTCCTCCCCGATCAGGACCAACTCATCCAGGGCACACTGACACAAAAGAGAGGAAACACAGTGACCAGTCAGGCTGTCTGGGGAGAATCTCCGTAAAGGCCCCTAGAAATATAAACTCTTGGGTTCTCAGGGTTAAATTCCATAAACCACTGATCAGCCCAGAGTCCCGTTTCCTACAACCCTGGGGGTACCGTACTAACCCCTCCCACCCGTATGTTATCTACAAATGTGCACCAGCTCCTGATTGCTGGCTCTGAGCCCCCACCTCTGCCTTCTGCTCTGGCTGATCAGGGCTTTGCCGGCGATCCGCTGGTTGTTCCCAGTATTGACCCTCTGCATCCTAGATCAGCGGTTCTCAATCGGGGGCCGCAGCCCCCTGTGGGTCCGCGAGCCCTTTCAGGGGGGCCACACGGCCCCGTGGCTGAAACCCAAGCTCGGTGCTGAAGCTGGGAGCAGCGCGGGGCTGAAGCCACACCCGCCCCCCCCCTCCCGACGCCGTGGCCTCTGAGTGAGTCAGTGGGTGAAGGTGGCACTCCCTCTCTGGCCCCCAAAGTGTGGAGCTGGCTCGAACCCTACCAGACTTTGACCCCCACCCCAAATAGAAGCAAAACTGTGCCAATGCCTAAGGGTCCCCCCCGGCCCGGAGCCCTGAGTTCCCCCTCACACCCCCTGCTGGGCCCTGGAGTTTTTATAGCATGTTGAGGGGGCCTCAGCAAGAGAAAGGTTGAGACCCCCCCCTGCCCTAGATCTGGGCAGGAGGCTCTCCCAGCGATGGGGGACCAGCCCCACCCACTCTCCCGGGGGTGGCACTCAGAGGCTGGTGTTTAAAGGGCTCAGGTCATGTGATTCAGAGTCAGGTGGAACCTTCTTCCCGCAGGGCGAGGGGTTGAGTTAATCATGTGTTTATTTTATTATTCACGCCGCAGCGACGGCAGAGAATAGCCCCCTCCAAGGCCTGCTGAACTGTCTGAAGGAAATAATTGTTCACAAGCCCCATCATCCCCACCCATCGCCCTGCCAATCGGCCAAGGGCCGCACGCGAGGAGACCCAAGGCAGAGGAGGCTGGAGAGCGAGGATGGGAGCTCGTCTGTAGAAGGTGAGTGTGTGTAAAATTATAGCTCCCCTTTTGGAATCGGGAACAGTTCTTTGCAGCCGGTGCTTGGCTGCCCCTCGCGTGATGCTCGCTGTACAGGCGGGGCAGTTGGCGAGAGACGCAGGAGCTGGGTGACTGGCCCTCAGAGTGTGTCTAGCCGTGGTGCCTGGTGCCTGGTTCCCATGTTGTCTTGCACATATTTGTAGGGGAGCTGGCTCGAAAAATCCAGTGCCCACATCCGGGGAGCAATAATGCTGAGCGCTTGCACAGAGAAGCAATCGCATGGGCAGGTCTTGGCGGGCTTTGTGGGGGTGGGAAGGGTCATTATCTCTCTCCCAGGTGAGGTAAGTGCGGGGACATGTCTTGCTCAAGTGAATTAGTGACAGAGGTGGGGGTAAAAGCCCGGGGCCTCCTGCCCAGTTTGTTCTCAGTCTGCCAGAGTACAGCTGCCCCTCTCAGCTGGCTTTAGGAGGTTTGTGGATGGACTGAACCAGCCCCACAAGTGCTGACCCGGACTTTGCTGTTCTGCGTACAGTGGAAACAGAAGTAACCGCGGAGGATCCACAGGACCCCGGCTTGGAGAGCTGCCCATCAGCCAGGCCTGTGAGCAAAGCCAGCCCTCCTCCCGGGCGGTCCAGCCGCTCCCCCACTAGCAGGGCAGAAGGAGAGGCCAGCGGTAGGATCCTGTTTGGCGAAGGTGAGCCATCGAAGTCACACCCCATCCCGTGTACGTGCCTTGTGTGAGATGGCACCGAAGGGGGCGCGGGCCATATGCCGCTCTGCCCCTGCCTGCCTTCCCTCCCACTGTCGAGACTCTGCCATGATGACCGGGTGGTGGATGGCTCAGTGATCCTGGGGTCTGTCTCACCTGTCCGCCATCCATCACTTCCTGCGGCCCGCCCCCGTCCAGGCCTCCTGGTCGTCGTATTTATACCCAGAAAGTAGAGCCAGTCCGTCCCTCAGGCCACACTGCTGATGACTGATGTAAGGAATCCCCGGCCACATAGACAAGTACGGGGTCAGCCCCTGCTCCAGGGGCCTGTCTGAGGGGAAATGCTTTAACAAGGTGCGGTACCAAGGTATCGGCCCCGAAGGGGGACGAGGCAGAGAGTCACATGGCTGCTGTCTGCGGAGGTCGGAGGCGTGGGGCAGCGAGTCTCTATCGTGCCCCATAGCGAAGGGAGCCGCTGGGAAGCAGCTGCCCAGAGGCTGAAGTTCTGACTTGCTCACAGGAGCTGTTAAAACGGACGGAGCTGCGGGGAGCTCCCGTGCCCAGGGCCTGCTGAGCTGCTGGAGAGATGTGGCCGGCCCCTGTCGTCCCGCCCGGCCAGCCTGCAGCTCCCCCACCAGCAGCGCCCACCGGGGGGCAGAGCAGAGGGGGCTGGCCCCGGGGCCCTGGCACGGTCCTTGGGAAGGTGGGGGGGGGGTTCGCTCCCACACTGGGGAGGGAGACGTTCGCAGCAAACCTGAGGCCCCGCGGGTTTAAGAGGCAACAACCCGCCGCTCACCCCCGGGCTAGTCGTTGCTGAAAAGGCTTGTGGAGCGTCAGGAGCTGAACGCTCCTCGAGCGGGTCTCCAGGGCCGGGGAACGGGCTCAGGCTGCGGTGGGGACGAGGTGCGCAGCGAGGGAGCGGAGGAACAGCCAGCGAGCGGGAAGGCCTGGTTCCCTGCTGAGAACCCAGCCAGACCTTGGCAGACTAGGCGGCCGCCAGGGCACGTCATGGGGAGCAGTCGCCACGCCCCAGTCACACTCTGGCACAGACCTCGGCGTTCCCCGTGCAAGGGGGTTTGCACTGATATAATTGCACCAGTGTCACTGGGCAGCGCCGGTGTAAAACAGGGCTTGCACCAGTGCATCTGAAATGAGGGTAAGCCCCAGAGGCGCACACCCCAGTACACACTGGTTGAAAGCATCTATCGCAGTTTAGCTCTGCCAGTGGGAATGAACCCCGTCTGTAACAGCTCTGCGTGTATTCCCAGCAAGCGCCCACAGCACTGGCCTGTGTACCAGAGCCTTGGCTAGTCACTCCGGCTGGCTGCTAGCCTCAGAAGCCAAATTCTCTCCCCAGAACAGGCTCATAAAGCAAAGGACTCTCAAAGTGCATCTCAGGTCGAGACCAGGAGGCTGGTGGGGCCTGCACAGCCCCCTGTGACTCTGCCCGTTTGGGGGATCTCCCTGCGGGAGCCTGGGGGGCTGGCCAGTGAGTGGTACGGCGGGGTGACTGTGCTGGGGGCAGACACCACCTGTCCTGCACCTGCAGGCCGTGCCCTCTCCATTGTCCGTTAAAGCAGAGGTGGCCCTGGAGGACTCCCCGCTGCGCGGCCTGGAGAACTGCCTGAAGGACATCGCCGTGACCAGCCCCCGTTGCTCCCAGCCACCCGCTAGCCGTTCCTCCAGCCGCGGCGCACAGAGAGCCCCGGGGGAGAGGCCTGGGCGAGAAGCTGGGAGCCTGTCCGCCGAAGGTGAGAGCCGTAGTGCGTAGCGGGGGCGCCCCTGCTGGATACACCTCGGAGACAAACGTGCTGTGGCTGGGCAGGAAGGGTCAGCTCCTCCCGGAAATCGGACAGTGGGCAGGGGAGGGGGTTCAGGTCCCTAAAATCTCTATGATTTGGGGACCAGTGGTGCCAGACGCATTGCGTACACAAGGGGCCTTGCTCCATGCATTGGTCCGCCTGCTCTGCAGAGGAGGGACTATACTAGGGAACATGCAGAAATCAGCGGGTCTTTACCAGGACCAACCTGGTTCCATCCCCAGCCCTTTCTGTGCCGCCCATCCCACGGGGGTGCAAGGGGCAGAGAGGAGGGGTCTCGGAGTGCAGTTGATTGCTGTTCACGTCCATTTCGAGTTGAATTAGCCGTTGGCCCAATCCCCAGGGTCTGATTGGAGGGCGTCTAGTTCTGGGAGCTGGGGAACGGGCTGGTGGGTTTATCATGCGCGGAAGGGCCGGGACGCCTCTTCCAGCCACAGCCACTGGGCTGTTATTCTGGGCATCGTTCCTATCGTTAAAACAGAAGCAGCGACAGAGGATTCCCCCCTGCGTGGCCTGCTGAGTTGTGTGACAGACACAGCCGCACCCTCCCCCCAGCATCCCAGCCCACCGACCTGCAGGGCCTCGGCCAGCGGCACCGAGTGGGAGACGGAGCCGAGGGGAACGGAGGCCGGGCTCTGGAACTCGTCCCCAGGAGGTAGGACAGTGCTTCAACCAGCGGTCCCAATTGAAGTTCCTGGGAATCTGCCACAGACTATATGGGACCAGGACTGGACCCTAGAAAGGGGTGGGATGGGTCAGAGTCCACTGTTGCTATCTGCGGCTCAGGAGCGAGTCGGTCCTTTGGCCGCTGACCCTGAGCTGGAGCGTGTGTCTCCATGTTTCTCAAGCAGAGATGACGCCAGGGACCAGCCCCCTCCACGACCTGGCGAACTGCCTGCAGGAAACACCTGTCCGTACATCCTGGGCTTCCCGAGTGCTGGCCCGCAACGCCGGAGCAGATGTGTCACCAAAGAGACCTGCCACGGGGATGGTGCGGAGCTGGTGCGGAGAGGGTGAGCCCAAGAATACACGAGCTATCACACCGTGGGTCCTGTCGACAGCTGCCCGGCTCACTGGAGGGTCCCAGCTGCCCACCTGCAAACCCCTGTCACTGAGCGGTCTCTGCCTTACCCATCTCCGACCTTAGCAAGGCACTTAAACAGCCTCTTCGGTCACTCTTACGTTACGATTCCATTTCTAAATGGTTCCAAAGGGTTCATAAATGATGAATGGACGTGACAAGCAGGAGACAGGTGCCGATGGGCACATCACCAGCAGAGGCTACAGATGGTTATAAGCAGGCGTGGTAGAATTCAGGGGTTTTATATTTTTGACAGATAATATTGATATTGATTTTAAGCATTTTTTTCCTATTTTTAGCCATTTAAATGTTTCACAGTTGCGCAAAACTATGAGCTGGGTGGGGGTGTCTGTCACTAGGGAGGTCAGACAATAACTACTTACTGACAATAGACCGTGAGCTTCAAAAATGTAAAGCTTTATAGCCATTAAAAGACAATCTGTCAACACTGTGTGTCAAAATATACCCATTAACTATCCTTACATTAAATTTTACGTCCGCAAGCTGTATTTTCCCTACTTTGGCCATAGAATTGTGGGACTGGAAGGGACCTCGAGAGGTCATCTAGTCCAGTCCCCGGCCCTCATGGCAGGACGAAGTATAGATACATTTTGATGACTATTGATGGAAATATTTTTTGTCGGTCTGTGTGTGTACGGTGAAATGCACGTTTTTGACAAAAATCTAACCCTTCCAAGCTCAGTTATAAGCCATAGTCAGAAGCAATTTGTTGGGCTCTGTAACAATTGATTAACATGTGTGTCAATCGTTTATTAGCCCTTTTATAAGCTATTTATACAGGGAACCGTACTGTAGAGTTTGACCTCCTTTTCTCTCCTTGGTCTTGCTGCGATCAGCACTCTGTTCCTTCCGTGCGGCTGTGAGGTTTGTTTTACCTCCTCGTCTCTCCTGTCTTTGCCTGAGTGTCTTGCACAGCTTTCAGGTCTCTCTGGTGTCTGTGCGATCAGGTCGCTCCTCCTTTCCCTTCTCCATTCCTTTGCTACAGCTCCAGAGGGGTCTGGTTCCTCTTCTTTCAGCCACCTGGTTCCCCCCGGCTCTGTGCATGCCCTCTCTGATTCGCTTGGCTATGCCAGCATTGTTGCATTCCTTGGCTCTGGTTTCTCTAAGGCTTTGAGTTGGTTTGGGGTCCTGGAGAGGAAGGATGGCATGGTGGGTAAGGCACTGGGGTGGAACACAGGAGAGCTGGGTTCTGTTCCTGGCACAGGCTGTCTGTGTCCTGGGTCAAGTCACTTTGGGTCTCGTTTACACTGGTGTACATCAAGAGTATGTGGGCCAGACCCTTGGCACTGTTGAGGTCCCTTTCCATCCCAGAGAATTGGTAACAAGCTTCATGTGTTCAGGAAAGGAGTGAATGAGACACTGTGGGGACCATTAGATCATCTAGCCCGACCTCCTGTATAACATGGGCTGTTACTGTTATCCCTGCACTCAGCCCACTCTGCACCGCCCCAACAGCTAGTCCCTACCTTCGGAAGGGCGTACGTTTCTCTTCGAAAGCAGGAAGTGGGACAAGTGTCTGCCCAGGCCGAGAGCCGGTCTAAGGCCCAGTGGGTTTTACAGAGCTCAGCGATATGTAGCTCCAGGTGATATTGGCTTTGGATCTTTTCTTTAAACAGACATCAGCACGGAGACCTCGCCACTCCAAGGTCTGGAGAACTGCCTGAGGGACATCCCGGTAAATAAACACCACTACCCCCACATGCCAGCCAACATCGCCTTGACCAGCCCCACGCAGAGGGACATGGGACAGAGGAGGCCAGGGGCCAGGAACAGGAGATCACTTGGAGAAGGTCAGATGAAGTGTTTACACCATAACCCAGTGTCACCACCATAAGGATCAGGTGGCAGGGAGGGTCAGCCGGGGCCACAATAACACCCCATGGCAATCCTATTCCAGTGCTAACCATACTCCTGTGCAGTGATAGCCTGGCTCACTTCCATCTCCATTCCACGCACTGAGCAGAAGTCACCCCTCGGCAGGGTCCCAGCACACGGCCTGGGCGCCACTTCAACCCTGTGGGCTCCGGGGTGAATTCCACCAGACCTGCGGCCCCTGAGCTGCTGCTAACTTTCACTGTGCATCACACAGGTAGAAATAACAGGGGGAAGAGTTTGCGTTCCTGGCGTGCAGATTCTGATCTCGCGTACGTCTGTTTTGGCTTCTGGCTTCCCCCTGTGCCAAAGAGAGCAGAATCAGACCTGGGCTCTGAGTGGCGTGTGGTTCTGGGGTGCACGCTTTGCCTTATGCAGGGGTGGGGATGATGTGTAACCTGTTATAAACACAACGGGGGTGCGTGTGTGGTTTTTTAACCCATAAAAACAAACACAATGTGGGCTGGAAGCCAGGGGTGTCTAGAGAGGATTCTCCCCTCTATGGATTGGGGAAGCTTTTCCAAGAACTAGCTGCAGGTAAACCCGCTTCTGCCAGCTTGCTGCTCTTCCTGCAGCAATAGAAGTGAATCCAGACAGATTTGATCTCCTCACAACAAAGGCTCCTATTTATCCCTGGTGTAACTCTGACTTGAGTGGAGTTCCTCCAGGGATGAACCCAGCTGACTATCTCAAAGTCCCTGTGAAACACCTAGAATTCAGAGCCAGAGACATTCAGAGCCTCTGCCTCGACAATCGCAGTATGAGAGCGGAGGTGAATCGCACTGGACGCAGGCTCATTCAGAGATGGAGGGAACCCATCCCAGAGCTGCAGGCCATGCACTGACGCAGGCTTGGTGTTGTTTAAACAGACGTCAGTACAGAGAATTCACCGCTGCGAGGCCTGGAGAACTGCCTGAAGGACATTCCTGTACCTAGCCGTAGTCAATCCAGTACCCCAGTCAGCCACTCCTCTATGAGCAGCTCACTGGATCCACATGGCAGACTGGAGACAGCAGGGTGGCCAGTGAAAACAGAAGGTAAATGGAAAGTTCACAGTGTCCCTGGTTCAGCTTTGCAGAACTCACCATGGCATGGATCTGAAGGTAACATCTGTCTGTGTCGCTTTTCAGTCTGTTTTACTAGCCCTGGAATTCCATGGAAGCATTTCCCTTTTTAGGGCAGGATTTTCAGACGGGGAAGCAGCTCCTTGTGGGATAGTCCCAGACCCACTGGAAGTGGAGCTTAGCCCGACTTTGGGGGGAATTGATACGTTATGGGCATATCGACAGCGCTGTATGTCAGCCACCAGTGAATACCTAATACCCTTGAATGAGTCTGTTCCTAAATTCCCTGTCAGCCGTGCGGCTGCCTATTTAGTGCCACCCAGGTGCTCAAGGAGGGTTTGGACCCCTCTGATCTCTCCTCTGGAGCAAGGTTTGGACCCCTCTGATCTCTCCTTCTCTGGAATACTTTTTGCTTTTCTCCCAGATTTTACGATCTGCTCTTCTTGCCTCTTGCTGCCTTCGGTTTAGTTCTTAGGACCCCTCAAGCCAGATACTCAGCTGGCTCACATCGGCAAACTCCTGTGGCTTTGTGCTGATTTACAGGAGCTGGGGATCTGGCCCTCGGCACGCGTGCAACACGTGGTTCCTTTCACACTTTTCTGGCAGCTTTTCCACAGATTTGCACAGTGCTGATTCCCACTCCCTGATGTCCCCCAGACCCTGAGGTACAGTGAGAGGTGGCTCGCTGGGAAGCCCATCACCGCGGCTCCTTGCCGTGGCCCCGGCTGTGCTGGGGTCTCCTTTTGGGGCTCCCTACGGTCACACACTGCACTCCCGCTGGAGGGCCCGAAAGGCTTGGCTTTTCAGCGTGCCTGGCAGGGGCTGGGAGCTGGGAGCAGAGCCAGTTGGCTTCACAAGTGTCCGAGGTGGATGGGAGCAGGGCTGTAACTCCCAGCCTCCTGCTGACAGAGATGTCGTACCTCTCGTTAAAGCAGGGGCCGTCTCAGAGGTCACGCCACCGCTCCAGGGCCTGGAGAACTGTCTGAAGGACATACCCGTGACCAGGCCCAGATGCTCCAGTGAAACTAGTTACTTCGGCCCCAGCAAAGCCCCGGGAGAGGTGGAGCAGAGGAGACCGGTGCTGAGGCCCTGGAGAGCATGCCCGGCAGGTGAGACAGGGAGCTGAGAAAGGACTGAAATGGGTGGGACTGCGTGGGACTCCTCAGTGGGCTTCTGGGAAAGAACGGGACGGAGAAGAGCGAGAAGCAGGGATTAAGATTTGATCCTTTTAAATTCACCTTCATCCCACTCTTTTTAAATCTAAAAATGTTTTGGACCACTGGGAACTGAAATCCCCCGGGTGCCCATGACACGTCCCACCCGGCCCTGACGTTGGGCGTTTGTATTATTAAACCAGCAGCAAGTGCGGAGAGCTCCCCCCTCTACGGACTGACGAACGGCTTGAAGGAAATACCCGCAGGCCGGCCGCGCTATGCCAGCACCCTGTCTAGCTACTCTCCCAGCAGCAGTGCCGACGGGGAGAGGGGCCCGTGGGGCGCTGGGCCGGGGACGTGGAGGTGGGGCAATGAAGGTGAGCCAGGGGCTTCGTGGCATCTCGTGGACTGTCAGGCCATGCCGTTCTCTCCATGAGCTCTCCCCGGCCTCACACAAAGCAGCCAGCTCTTACAGCAGCTGTGCTGGTGACGGGGTGATCTGCACTAGCAGGTTATCTGGGGGCATTGGGGGGTGATGGTGGGCAGTAACCCTGGGCTGAGGAGCAACGGTGAGTGGGGGGAACTGTGGGGTGAGGGGACCAGTGGGCTGAGGAGCGATGGTGGTTGGGGGGACCGTGGGCTGAGGCCCTGGTGAGCGTGGGGGACCGCTGACAGCAGCTGCTCCGTGGCCCAAGCTCTGTGCTGATCCTGTGTTGTCTAAACAGAACGGAGCCCCGAGAATTCCCCTCTCCGAGGCCTGGAGAAGTGCCTGCAGGAGATCTTGGTGCCCAGGCCCCGGACCCCCAGCTCCCCCACCACAGCTGCTGTGGTGGGCAGCCGGCGAGGAGACACAGCGCAGAGGAGGCCAGAGACGGGGCACTGGGACTGGCACGGTGCAGGTAAGAGGAGGATCAGGTTCACAGTGTGAAAGGAGGGGCTGTGCCCTTTCCTGCTGCCCTGCTTTCTGCCAAGGCCCCTTGTTTGTCTGGTGTGAGAGGCCCCAGAGCCAGGCCTCACCCGCGGTCCTGTACGGAAGGGGACGCTCCGGAGTGCGGACGGGACAATCAGTGAATAGGACACATGGAGGGGGATGGTGGAGTTGCCCCCCAGAGTCAGGGTAAACCGAGGCGCTGGGCAGAAGCGTGAATTGGGGGAAGAACGAAGCGATAGAGCCTCCGTTGGAGGCGGAAGGAATCGGACACTTTGCCGAAGTCACCGCAGAGCGCTCCCCCCCCATGGCCTGCAGCGCTGTCTGACGGGCCTAGCGGTGAAAGGCTCCGTCGCTCCAGCAGACCTGCCAGTGACAGCCCCACGCGGGGGTAGAGCAGCGGAGCCCTGAGGCGGGGTTTGGAGATCACAGGCGGAAAGTCAGTCCAAGGTGCCCAGCCGTGGCGGTGGCCTGGGTTAGCAATCTGAACGTCGTCGGGTGCGGCTCGGAGGTGAACAGTGGGAGGTCGTTCAGGTACGAGTCCGGCTGGGCCAGAACAACGGTCCCTACGCGAACCACCTGGCTCGAACGGACGATCGTACTGCAGGCATCTGGCAGATCCAAGACAGCCCTGGGCTGTTACTTGATGTCCAGGTTTCCATGCAACGGTCACATGGCTGTGGTTGCTAGAGGGGTGGTGAGGAACCTCCAGGACAGACGGGAACTGAAACCAGCCGGCAGCAAATCACCTCTTAGGAATACGCGCTTCGCCATGCTTCCGAGACCAGGCGAATCCGCAGGGCCCTGCCCCGGAGAGGCCATTCCCTGAGGCCTGTCTCGGAACAGGCTCGTGCTCGCGACCCCATGGCACTCTCTGCAACGCCGCGGTGTCTGGAACAAACGGCACCTGGCAAGAGTCTGACTCTGCCTCTGTCTGTGTTTATTGTAGCTACAGTCAGCACCCATGTCCACGGCCCAGAGAGCTGTCTGAAGCCTCTGCCTGGAACCAGACCCAGTCACGCCAGCCGCTCGTCGCCCCGCAGCACAGCGGGAGACGCGGGATGCAGCAGCCCAGAGGCTGGGATTTCGAGATTTCAGGCTGAAGGTGAACAGTGGGACTTTAAATTGTATTCCCTTGAACCGGGCTTGTTCCTGGCTCACTCTCTGAGCAGGGGAACTGCAAACCTTTCGGCCCGGTTGGTTTTCTAGGGCTCGAGGGAAGGACTGACCTGGCCTAATGCCCACACCCCTGTCTGGTTTCTCTGCTGCAGATCAAAGGCAAGCGGAAAACCTCCCAGGCCTGGAGGAGGTAGCTGCGCCCAGATCCTGTCCTGCCCAGTCCCCTCCCAGCAGCGCTCGGGGAGACGCAGAGCGGCGGGAATGGGATGTGCATGCGAGGAGCTCCAGTACCAGCGGTGAGCCGGAGAGCGTGGATCTTACGGCTCTGACTAGATCAGGTTCTTCTCTGGCCCCCAGCACCATGCCTCCCAGCCTATGACTGCATTTACCCTCCTGCACCACTGTGGGCAGGGCAGGGGTAGGATCCCTATGGTAGGGAGAGCAACTGGTCACACAGAGTCTGTGGCTGAGCCGGGGCATGAACCCAGGTCTTCACAGCCCTAGTCGAATGCCCTAATCATGGGACCACCCAGCCTCTACTTGTCCTGCCTCTGACTCTCACACGTGATGCAGGATTCACTTCCAACTTTTGGGAGCAACAAGGACAGCCATAGTGTAGACAGGGCTCAGGAGCGCTTCACTTAGTTCTAGGGGAATAACCGGGTGTCTCTCCAGGAGGCTGCTCAGTTCAGACTGGGAGTACACACTCAGAATGGCTCCCTGCTGCCCTTCCCCTTCCCTGTACACCTGCCCCTAACATGGAGGACTCAGTTCCCATTGGCTTCACTCGGAGCTGCACCCGCAGAATGGGAAGCATTCAGTGATCAGCACTGCTCACAAACCCTACTGCTTGGGAAGTAGCTCTCAGCCCCTGGGAGCCTCCTCCCCGGTGGCCCTCTACCTCGCAGCCCGTTGTGCAAGGCGCTTCTCCTCGCACAGCTTGGGGCCTCCATGGCAGGGGCGTCTCTTTCCGCTGTTGCCCTCCAAGGGGCTCGCCGACTGGTCTCCCGTCTCCAGCGAGCATAGGAATGGGTCTGCCAAAGCTGAACCAGGCAGGAGAATCCAAGCTGCTGCCACGGGTCTGAGAGCCAGGTATGGTCACAGAGACCATGAGCGGCTGACCCGGCTTTAGAGCAAAGGACCTTGAGAGGCTTTTCAGTTTGCTTAAAGCAGAGGGAACGGCAGTCGGTGACCCGGAGAGCTCTCGGAAGGAGAGTCCTGTGAACAACCTGTCACCCCAGCACGCCAGCAGGACGGGAGTTATGGGGCCACGGAGAAGGGGGACGGGTGCTGGGAGATCCCCGAAGGAGTCATAGGGTAACCCAAGGTCCCGTTTAGGTACCAGTTCAAGGTACAAAAGTCTAGTGCAGACCAGCCTGAGTTGGGGCTGAGCGTCTGCATCTTGCACTGAAGGCAGCAGGAGAGGCAGGTCCTCAGCCCCGAGACTGGGGTGTCATCTGCATGCTGGTACCATTCGTTCTGGGGTAACCAGGGAATCTAAACCCCCAAGGACAGGGCGAGGAAGGTACCAGCGTGTAGCCCCCAGAGCCAGGTTAACTCCGCCTCTGTGTAACTGCCCGCTGCACTCTCAGGAGAAAGCACCGCTCGCCACTTAGATTATAACGAGCGTGCTTCTGCATGGCAACGACCATGCTTCCCGCCTCTCCCGGGACAGTGGAACAGTACATAAGAGCAGCCACACTGGGTCAGCCCAAGGGTCCATCTAGCCCAGGATCCTGTCTTCTGACAGTGGCCAATGCCAGGTGCCCCAGAGGGAATGAACAGCACAGGGAATCACCAAGTGATCCGTCCCCTGTCGCCCATTCCCAGCTTCTGGCCAACAGAGGCTCGGGACACCCTCCCCGCCCAGCCTCGCCTATAGCCATGGATGGACCCGTCCTCCAGGAGCTTGTCGAGTGCAGAACAGCTCGGGCAGAGCGTAAGCCATGGACGTGGGGCTGGGACACAACCCGGCTCAGGCTTGATGTTGTTCAGGTGCGGTGGGAGCTGGCCCCATGGAGACTGGCCAGGAGCGGGCAGCAGACTCGGCTATTTCTGGGCCGGCAGAAGTCATGGTAGGGAGCTCGCCCCTCCCCAAGCTCAACTGTTTGAAAGAGATCACTGCCAACAGACCAACGCCTTCCTCGCTGCCTGCCCACACTGGGCAGGGAGACAGGACGCTGAGGAGAGCAGAGAGCAGGGGGAGGAAGCTGTCTGGGGAAGGTGAGCAATGGAGTTTATGGCTTTAACACCTTAGGCAGCCGCACTGCAAGGCCGGGCTGGTCCAGGGGGTCTGAGAAGCCTGAGAATAAGCCCGGGGCACGTGGCTTGCCGGGGGCTGGTTTCCTTCCCTGAAATCAAGGTTCTGCGGGTGCTCGAATGCACACGTGTGGGTGTCTGGATTAGGGCTCAGTCTGCAGGCTGGGCGCAAGACTTGTAGGCTCTGCAGAGAGACGCCTAGATTTGTCGGACCAGACAGGGCGAGAGGTTGCTTCCTCCAGCCCCCTGCACAAATGTCAGATGTATTGCTCTGCTGAGGTGGAGGGGGGAGAAAACCACATCTGCCACCACAGCAGATTCTAGACACGGCCCCCCCTCGACCATTCCTCCAAGGGCTTTGATTGTACCTCTCGACTGGGGCAAAGGGAGAGGAAAGTGTTCCCATGAGCAGGGCCGTCCTTAGGCATATGCAAAATATGCAGCTGCATAGGGTACCTGAAAATTTGGGGCACCCCTGGGTCTTAGTGTCCACCCCCCCACAGCTTTCCTATTCCTATTCTGACCTTTCCTGCAGGCTCCCACAGCTGGCTGCTGCAGCCTGGTGAGTCTTCCTCGGGAGGTTTCAGAGGAACAGCCGTGTTAGTCTGTATTCGCAAAAAGAAAAGGAGTACTTGTGGCACCTTAGAGACTAACCAATTTATTTGAGCATGAGCTTTCGTGAGCTACAGCTCACTTCATCAGATGTAGCTCACGAAAGCTCATGCTCAAATAAATTGGTTAGTCTCTAAGGTGCCACAAGTCCTCCTTTTCTTTCCTTGGGAGGGGATCTAGTAGTTAAAAGTGATAAAGCCTCCAGCCTGCCAGACCTATTAGCACAACATTGAAACTGTTAAAGAGCCATTCAAGGGGGAATGAAGCCATTTAACAGGCATTTGCCAACTCCCAGGTATAGACTGTCAGTTTCTGAATTTACTGACAAAAACAATTGTGCATTGCTGTAATATTTACTCAGAACATGTTAGTCTACAGGACCTTAGTTTAAAATTTGCTTTAAAAATATTTCATTAGTGAGTTGGTGAAGATTATAAAATCACATCTCTAAAAAATCCTTGCATAGATTTTTAGATGCACAATCATCTTTAGCCTTAAATGCTTGGATCTTCAGACATATCATTTTTTAAATAAATCCTTCAAAAGACCACCCTTCTCTAACATACACAGTTTAATTTTAGGTTTCAGAGTAGCAGCCGTGTTAGTCTGTATTCGCAAAAAGAACAGGAGGACTTGTGGCACCTTAGAGACTAACAAATTTATTTGAGCATAAGCTTTCATGAGCTACAGCCCACTTCATTTATGCATTATTTATTTATTTATTATTTATTTATGCATTGATGCATTATTTTAATTTTAATTACTATAGTAAAAAACACTTGTTTCCAAAGTCTTCCTGTCCTTTCTGTCCGTCCCTTTCTCCTTGAAGAGAGCCCTTAAATGACAATACCCCACTTGACACCGGCTGCCAACTAGACATGGAGCCATTGATCACTACCCGTTGAGCCCGACAATCTAGCCAGCTTTCTACCCACCTTATAGTGCATTCATCCAGCCCATACTTCCTTAACTTGCTGACAAGAATACTGTGGGAGACCGTATCAAAAGCTTTGCTAAAGTCAAGAAACAATACATCCACTGCTTTCCCTTCATCCACAGAACCAGTAATCTCATCATAAAAGGTGATTAGATTAGTCAGGCATGACCTTCCCTTGGTGAATCCATGCTGGCTGTTCCTGATCACTTTCCTCTCATGCAAGTGCTTCAGGATTGATTCTTTGAGGACCTGCTCCATGATTTTTCCAGGGACTGAGGTGAGGCTGACTGGCCTGTAGTTCCCAGGATCCTCCTTCTTCCCTTTTTTAAAGATTGGCACTACATTAGCCTTTTTCCTGTCATCCAGGACTTCCCCCGTTCGCCACGAGTTTTCAAAGATAATGGCCAATGGCTCTGCAATCACAGCCGCCAATTCCTTCAGCACTCTCGGATGCAACTCGTTCGGCCCCATGGACTTGTGCACGTCCAGCTTTTCTAAATAGTCCCTAACCACCTCTATCTCCACAGAGGGCTGGCCATCTCTTCCCCATTTTGTGATGCCCAGCGCAGCAGTCTGGGAGCTGACCTTGTTCGTGAAGACAGAGGCAAAAAAAGCATTGAGTACATTAGCTTTTTCCACATCCTCTGTCACTAGGTTACCTCCCTCATTCAGTAAGGGGCCCACACTTTCCTTGGCTTTCTTCTTGTTGCCAACATACCTGAAGAAACCCTTCTTGTTACTCTTGACATCTCTTGCTAGCTGCAGCTCCAGGTGCGATTTGGCCCTCCTGATATCATTCCTACATGCCCGAGCAATATTTTTATACTCTTCCCTGGTCATATGTCCAACCTTCCACTTCTTGTAAGCTTCTTTTTTATGTTTAAGATCCGCTAGGATTTCACCATTAAGCCAAGCTGGTTGCCTGCCATATTTACTATTCTTTCGACTCATCGGGATGGTTTGTCCCTGTAACCTCAACAGGGATTCCTTGAAATACAGCCAGCTCTCCTGGACTCCTTTCCCCTTCATGTTAGTCCCCCAGGGGATCCTGGCCATCCGTTCCCTGAGGGAGTCGAAGTCTGCTTTCCTGAAGTCCAGGGTCCGTATCCTGCTGCTTACCTTTCTTCCCTGCGTCAGGATCCTGAACTCAACCAACTCATGGTCACTGCCTCCCAGATTCCCATCCACTTTTGCTTCCCCCACTAATTCTACCCAGTTTGTGAGCAGCAGGTCAAGAAAAGCGCCCCCCCAGTTGGCTCCTCTAGCACTTACGCCAGGAAATTGTCCCCTATGCTTTCCAAAAACTTTCTGGATTGTCTATGCACCGCTGTATTGCTCTCCCAGCAGATATCAGGAAAATTAAAGTCACCCATGAGAACCAGGGCGTGCGATCTAGTAGCTTCCGTGAGCTGCCGGAAGAAAGCCTCATCTACCTCATCCCCCTGGTCCGGTGGACTATAGCAGACTCCCACCACTACATCACTCTTGTTGCACACACTTCTAAACTTAATCCAGAGACACTCAGGTTTTTCTACAGTTTCGTACCGGAGCTCTGAGCAGTCATATTGCTCCCTTACATACAGTGCAACTCCCCCACCTTTTCTGCCCTGCCTGTCCTTCCTGAACAGTTTATAACCATCCATGACAGTACTCCAGTCATGTGAGTTATCCCACCAAGTCTCTGTTATTCCAATCACGTCATAGTTCCTTGACATCACCAGGACCTCCAGTTCTCCCTGCTTGTTTCCAAGGCTTTGTGCATTCGTATATAAGCACTTGAGATAACCTGCTGATCGCCCCTCATTCTCAGTATGAGGCAGGAGCCCTCCCCTCACAGACATTCCTGCCTGTGCTTCCTCCCGGTATCCCGCTTTCCCACTTACCTCAGGGCTTTGGTCTCCTTCCCCCAGTGAACCTAGTTTAAAGCCCTCCTCACTAGGTTAGCCAGCCTGCTGGCAAAGATGCTCTTCCCTCTCTTCGTAAGATGGAGCCCGTCTCTGCCCAGCACTCCTCCTTCATGGAACACCATCCCATGGTCAAAGAATCCAAAGCCTTCTCTCCGACACCACCTGCGTAGCCATTCGTTGACTTCCATGATTCGACGGTCCCTACCCAGGCCTTTTCCTTCCACGGGAAGGATGGACGAGAACACCACTTGCGCCTCCAACTCCTTTATCCTTCTTCCCAGAGCCACGTAGTCCGCAGTGATCCGCTCAAGGTCATTCTTGGCAGTATCATTGGTGCCCACGTGGAGAAGCAGGAAGGGGTAGCGATCCGAGGGCTTGATGAGTCTCGGCAGTCTCTCCGTCACATCGCGAATCCTAGCCCCTGGCAAGCAGCAGACTTCTCGGTTTTCCCGATCAGGGCGGCAGATAGATGACTCAGTCCCCCGGAGGAGAGAGTCCCCGACCACCACCACCCGCCTTCTCCTCTTGGGAGTGGTGGTCGTGGAACCCCGAACCTCAGGACATCGCATCTCATGCCTTCCAATCGGCGGAGTCTCCTTCTGCTTTCTCGCCCCAGACATATCATCTGGTCCACTCTCCGCAACGGTACCTGTGGAGAGAACATGAAAGCGGTTAGTTACCTGTGTCTGTGTTACTGGAACCCGGACATTCCGCTTACCTCTTCTGGAGGTCACATGTTGCCAAGCTTCTTCACTGGCCTCTTGGCTCCGCTGTGCAACCTGCTCTATATCTGTAGAGCTTTGTGCCCCTAGAAGCATATCCTGAGTTTTGTCCAGAAAATCCTCCGTTTCTCGTATGCAACGCAGGGTTGTTATCTGTTGCTCCAGACCTTCAATCTTCTCTTCCAATATGGAGACCAGCTTGCACTTTGTACAGACAAAGTCGCTTCTGTCCTGTGGAAGAAAGACAAACATGGCACATCCAGTGCAGGTCACAACAGCTGAACCCCCCCCTTCCATATCACCTTCCTACTATAGTTATGAGCACACTAAACCTCTGTGACTGATGAATTTAAAATAATGTCTTTGTTTCAGTGAGTGAAATCTGTAGTACTCTGGAATGATTCCTTTCTGAAGGCTTAAGAGTACATTTAAAATATCCTCATCATCGTATCCACTCATTATACTCCACACCTGAACAGAGCCATCATATGAACAACATACCCCCATATCTCAATGTCTGTACTCTGACCCGTTAACCTTCTACCCCCAATTGGGGAGACTGCAGATTATGTATTTCTTACACCACCCGATCCTAAACCGAACTTCGCACCCCTTGATAATCTGTACCTTATTCCCTGATAACCAGAAACTTCTATGCTTCAACTCTGTACCGTTTTCTTTTTACTTCAACATCATCTTAATAAGATTATTAAATATAAAACCAGCTTAGAAATACTGATTAAGAAAATGTAAAACAGAGAAGAGCTGCATCATCTATCCCATAATATTTAATGTTGTGTTCAGCAGGACAGCTGACTCATCCTTCCTACAAAGCTTTTGCAAATAAACCTCTGACAAACTTCAGGGCATATCAAAAAACCCGTGACAGACACTTCTTATTCCCAAGTTTAGTGCTTTTAATTAGGTACTTTCTGCATGTCCAGTCTGCATGAGGGAGGGGGCACAGGGGTCTCTGCAGGGAACTGTGACTCTCCACCACCCTGAGGCGGGCCGGGCGTCTTGCTATCCTTTGCTGCTTCGTCCCCTTGCCGCTGGGCTGTGAGCCCGGGCTGCTGTCGGGCAGAGGGGCACCAGTTTAATAACACTGCGGAGGGCCCCATAAATCCTACGGATGGCCCTGTCCATGAGACAAGGGGACTAGTGAGGGAGGAGGCCAGAGGATGTGCAGCCCCACTGGGAGGAGGTGGGGGAGCACACAGTTACATGATGGGAGGGCTGGGGGGCATGTGGCCTCGGGGGGAGGCTGGGGTGCGGCCCCACTGACTCCGCTCTGGCCCTGGCCCTCGGGGTGCGTGGGCTATGAATGTGCCTACGGGTTTCCTGCCCCCGTAAAGTCAGGGTGTGTACCAGCAAGTGTACAAGCGGGTTGAGGATTCCATCCCGAGTGGGGATCAGGGAAGCCCCGGTCAGTTTCCATGGCTATGGCGTAGCGGGGTCTGTCCTGTAGCTGACATGGATTTCTTGGTTTAAAGCAGACAGTACGGCCGAGACTGCCCATCTCCCAGGGCTGGAGACTTGCTGGAGTGCAGTGCCTGAGAGCCAACGCAGTTGTGCGAGCACCCCCCTCGCTATGTCCTCCAGCAGCAGCCCACGTGGGGCCAGGGGGGAGAGGAGCCCACAGCCAGGGCTTTGCAGGCTGCACAGAGAAGGTGAGCCAGCCAGCGGGCCTGGGACGCGGTGCATGTGATCTGCACTGCACGGGCCAATCTGTCGGCTGGGGTCAATCAGTGAAGTCGGTGAAGCTTTGCTGATTCATGCCCGCCGAGGTTCTGGCTGTCGGAGTGCGTGGTACAGAGAGTCTCATGCTCCCAGCCTTGCGATGTGATGAGAGACTGACAGACAGGAGCGCTCCATTGACAGGTCCCCGGCCTGCCTAGCACTGATAGCTCTTCCCAGCGTTGCCCCGCTTAGCCTCTTGGATTTCACGCTGGAAATCTTCACGGACTGAGGAAAACCGGACCTTTGGGAGGGTGTTCCTGGGAACTGACAAATGTGGCATTATTATCGATTATTATTATTAATGATCTGTATTACTCTAGGGCCTGGGGCCCCCGTCAAAGACCAGGCCCCTGTTGTGCCAGGCGCTGGACAGAGCGAAGAGGGTCCCTGTCCAGAGAGCCGACAATCTAAGCCCCTTTGGCCAGATAATGCCATTTCCCCTGCAGTGAGATTCCCCCTAGAAGCAAGCATTTCCACTAGGGGGAAACCAGCCATCTGAGCAGCCAAGAGACGTTTCCTCCCGTCAGAACTGCCTTTGTGTTGTGGGAAGCGGAAGAGAAACTCTGTCGTCAGCTCCACAGTCCACAGGCACAATGGGAGCTGGGGCGGTGAGGATCCCAAGGTTTAAGACTGACGATTCCTGCCAGTGCCCCATCCTCCTGGAGTACAGTGGGCTACCTGCATTTCTGGGCTGGGAGCCCAGCTTCCGATGGGACTAATGGCCCATAGAGAGGGTCACCGCTCCTCCGTCCTGCTGTCCTTAGCTTGCTACGCTCCTGTGCTCATAGACTTAGAGAAACTGGAGCTGGAGAAGACCCACTAGATCTCCGTCTCCCGAGCTGTGCAGGGCTGTTCCCTGGGTCTGTTCCCGCTCCAGACACTCCAGTAACGAGGGCCCGAGATGTGCCAATAGATGAATGGTTTCCTGTAGGAATAAGGCTGCAGTGGGTCTGTAGCACTTGGCGGAGGGTGGGACCTGGCTTGATCTGATGCAGGCTTTGTTTGTGTTGGTACAATCAGAAGGGATGCCAGTGGACGCCCCTCGCTATGGCCCCGCAACCTGCCCACAAGGAACCCATGGAAACGGGCCCAGTTGTTCCAGCACGCCGAGCAGTACCTCGCCTGCCTGCGATGCCCCAGGCCACAGGCACGCTAGAAGACCCAGGACAGGGATTAAGAGACCACACACTGAAGGTACCTTGATCGCCTTGGGCCTTCCAAGTAGGTTCCTCGTTAGGCCCCCCAGTCTGTTTTCAAAGGTGCTGAGAACCCACCTGCAGTGGGGCTGGTGGGTGCTGGAACCAGGCCTGCATTTAGGAGTCTGATCCGGTTCTTCCCTCCTGGGGCTGGGGTCTCATTGGCTCTCGTAAGCCAAGCCAAGTCACTGGATGGGAGACCTCCAAGGAAGACGTGAGTACAGCGGGAAACGGTGCTTGTGAACGAACTGGTGGCGATCTGCCCACTGAGTCCCTCCTGAGCCAATGCCCCAGCCCCACCTTTCACATCAGCTGTAAAACCCAGGTGCCTATTGGTGGGCGTTAAAAATCCCATGGCACTTTGTGCAGGAGTAGGGGTGTTAGCCTGGGACCTGGTCCAGTGCCAGTTGGGTAATTACACTCGGTTTTACTTCACTCCCTCCCACAGCATAACTGGATATCCCGCCCTTAGCTCCCTGTCCTCAGCTGTTGGATAGCGTTGCTGGAAGACAATCAGCTGCCACCTTTCACTCCAGAGGAGGCTGCAGTGCAGTGGTGGGTGTGGGGATTCCTGCCTAATATAGTGCTAGGAAATTGTCTCTAGAAGAGCGCTCTAGAAATGGTGCTGACCCTTGCTTGGTGTTGCCGGGTCTGATATGTTTGTCCTCTGGACCGTAGCCAGGACAGATGCTGCCCGACCACCCAGCACCAGCTCCTGTACTGATGGTGAGGACGGTGGACAAAAGGCAGATGCCACATGGGAGGAATTTCCGAAGAGACAATGCTCCCACGCAGCGCCACCTCCGTGGGAGTGCTGCGGCTGGGAGAGCGGGACGCCCCTGGACCTCGGGGTGGAGAGGAGCGCGGTCGAGGCCGTCCTCTCGGAGAAGCTGGACCGGGTCTCCCAGGATTTCGCGGCCATGTGCAGGGACGTGTCGAGCATGCAGAGCCGCGTGGCCCAGCTGGAGCGGGACTCAAGGGGCTGGGCCCTCGAGCTGGCTGCCCTCCAGCAAGGCAACAAGCGCCTGAGTGAGACCGTCCGGCGGCTGGAGAGCCGCTGCCACGTACTGGAGAGCCACGCCCGCCGCAACAGCCTGCGGCTGGCGGGCCTGCCGGAGGGGGCGGAAGGGGGAGACCCCGTCGCCTTCCTGCAGAGGACCCTGCCCGCGGTGCTCAACCTGCCGGCGGACTGGCCGCCCCTGGAGATCGAGAGCGCGCGCCGCGTGCCCGGGGGGGCGCGCTGGGACCCTGCCACCCGGCCCCGGGCGCTGGTCTTCCGTCTGCTGCGCTTCTCCGACAAGCTGGCCATCATGCGGGCGGTCAGGAAACACGCGGAGCCCCTGACCTGTGGCAGCACCCGGGTCGCCCTCTTCCCGGACGTCAGCCCCAAGCTGCGCCGGGGAGCGGGGGCGCGGTACGCGGCCGTCAGGAGGCTGTGGCGGGCGGCGGAGCTCCGCTTGGGTGCTCAGCCCGCCGGCTGCTGCCACAGCCGGGCACGAGGACACTGGGAGCCACTGCCCAGCCCCCCGGGCCGCGCGCCCGCTGCAGGCAAACGGGAGCAGAGTCACCAAAGGGCAGTGACAGAGAGGGGGGACTTGGAGCCGCTGGCTCCGCTCACCCCCCTTTGAGTCACAGGGTCCATCTCCCTGCCCTAGAGACCACAGCACCCCCTGGGTCCGGACTGGACCTCTCCCGCCTCCAGCTCTTTGTTTCCCTGACTGTCGCTAGGTCCCAGCACTTGGCTGTGTGATTCCACCGTGTCCGTGTTTTCCCCGCCACGGTGTGCACCTGCTCTGCTCAGCTCGCAGGCGGGGGGCTCCGGGAACTGCAGAGCAATAGACTCGGCCGTTATTGGGGCCGGCCCTGCGGGGAGCCCCTGTATTGTAACAAGTGAGATAGCATCAGAGCCGCGTGTTAGCGAGCTGCTCAGGGAGCCCTTCAGGGGCTAGGCAGTCTGCGGGGGGGGGCTCTGGGCAGGGGTCCAGGGTAGGGTCAGGCACTCGGGTTTGCTTTGCTCCCCCTGACAATTGCTCCTGGCCGGCTGGGGAGAAATTTGACATTTCCCCTTTTTTCCCCTGTCCGTCGGCACTGCCCAAGCTGGTGTCTTTTCCGTCCAGCTTCCAGCCGCCCCCCGACCCTGGGGGAGTCGCGCTCACTGCTAGGTCTCGGCAGCAGTTTCACAGGGAAGAGCCTTCAGGGACCCAGCCAGGGCAGAAACCTTCCTGGTGGGAGGCATCACTCACAGGGACGTTGTCAGAGTATGGGCACCGCCACGTGCTCCAGTCCCCGTCGGCACTGCCCGCGCCCAGGAGGCGCTGAGGTTAAAGGCTGTCATGGGCTTGCTGGGCTGGTCCTTTCCCCGGTTGTATATCGGCTTCCACTGGCTGGATCCACCACCCACAGACTTATGCTTATTCCCCATTGCCTCAGCCCTCTGTTTTGCTGCCCAAACTCTCCTCTGCAACTCCCCAGGCAGCTCCCGGCACTCTGGAGAGTTTCTGGTTTTGGGGCACAAGGAGAAGCTGCCAGATTTGGAGCCCTCTGCACCCGAACAGGTCCCGCCCCCCACGTGCGTGAGCCCGGAACAGCTCCCGCCACCCCCACGTGTATGAGCCCTGCCTTGGAGGGACCATCTCTGAGCCCAGAGGGAAGTTCATTCTCCTTCCTCCCTACCCCAGCCAAGACTACAAACAAAGGGACCGAAGGCTCAATCCTGCCAGGTGCTGAGCGCTCCAGCCCTGCTGTAGCGAAGCATATTAGCTTGTGCTTAGCTTTAAGCCCCTGAGTAACCCCTCTGAAATAGGTGCTTTCCTGGATTGAGGTCAGAGCGCTCAGCGCTGCAGGATCAAGCCCTGCATGGGGGCTGTGTGATAATTACACCCACCCACTCCGTACCCAGCTGCACCCGCCAACTCTCCCAGCAGCCATCAGTGCGCGATCGGAGCTGGATTTGACCTGGAGACCTGCAGTGAAAGGCTCCTGCGCCCGTAACTAGGTCCCGTTACCTAACTCACACCAATCTCATCTCAGTAGGCCCCGATCACTTCAGTGTCCAAGTGCCGATCTCCATCAGACAGGTTCTTTATCACACGTATTCCTAGGCTGTCCTGTCTGTGCAGCACCATCCTGCGTGTAAAGCACAGGGTGAGCAGTGAGGCTGAATGCGAACTGGAGCTAGGCAGGACTACGGTAGAGAATGTGCCATGTATCGGGCCAGGCAGCCCCGTGAGTGGTGCCTGGACAATCCCAGCATTTTAAGAGTTAATTAGTCCAATGAATCGTCCTGTTTGCTGAATGGAAGTGACAGGTGCCTCCCTGGATAGGTATTCATCAAGTTCCCTAAGCTGGCCCCATGTCTCAGCCACAATTTACTGCAGCTGGAATTTCTTTGTCTTCAAGACGCCCTCTGCCTATTCCCACTGGGCAGCTCAAAGACCTCTGGTTACAGGGGAGTCACCTTCCGGTACCCACACCTGCTGCTTGAGTTTTCCCCCACCCCCAGCTCCGCCAGTGCATTGCACTGGGGCCTGCTTTTCTGGGGTGCAAAGCAGGAGAGTTCTGACCCTGCTGGCTCCCCTGTCGCTCTCAGGTTTGCTCTAACTTGGAGGCCCTACTCAGTAGCCACAGGGCACTGGGGGCCTGATTCTGAGCTCTTACCTGTGAAATCGGGAGTGACTCCGCCGTCGGGGGTGGAGCCGTGCCGGAATCGGGAGTGACTCCGCCATCGGGGTGGAGCTGTGCTGGAATCGGGCGCTTCGTGGCACAGGTTCCCTTCTGTTGACAGCATGGTGTTTGTGAGATCCGTTCCTGCTGCCAGCGTGGGCGGCACGTGGCTCTCCTGATTTCCCTGTGTTTCTGTGCTCACGGCACAGTTGGACTGTATTAAAACACTGATTTGTAACCTGCTTGGCCCCCTTGCCTGGTGTTTGTTTGAATTCCCTGCACCTGTGTTACGGGTGTAAATCAGGCGGGCCATGGGCCAGAACCTGCTGTCTGGGTAAATCCGAGCCACTCCACGGCCTGCAGACTGGGGAGTTCCCCTTGTAGCCGAGAAATTCAGGCATCTCCTGTATGAAACCCCCTTTCGGCCCCCAGAGAGAGCGCGGGGCATTTGCTGGGGATCTGTGAGCAGCCATGAGGGATTATGGCCTGGGCTGGGGTCCTGAGTGTTATAAACCTGGAGCAAACCCCACCAGCCTCCGGATTTCCATCTGGGTGAGGCAGTGCGAAGTGCTAGAGAATCAATGCCCCATGCACTAGCCAATCCGATTTGCTCGAATCACCGCCCAGAATTCCATTCATTTGAATAAATCTACATGGGAAGTGGCTTCTTAAGCGCAGGGTGTGAATGGTCCCGTCCCCCCATGTTCTGTCTGCAGCAGCAACTTGCATTCACTTTCCACTCAAGGCACCAGCGTGTGAGGCTGGTCGTACCCAGCAGTCGGCAGCTGTATAACGAAGCCCTGGCCTCAGAGATACAGCGGGGATAGAACCCAAGACCTTCCCCTCCCAACATGCAGCCCTTACTGCTTGAGCTACAGGAAGTGCTCCGTTAGGTATGAGCCGGCCCCTATCCTCCCTGGAGCAGCCACGAGAGGGAGACATAATCTCACACACACACAGTTAAGGGGCTGTAGCCACCCAATGATGGGGAGGGAGGTAGTTGGTGACTTGCTGGGTGTGTCTGTGGGTGACACACAGGGCCAGACCACGTGTAATATAAATTAAGACCCAAAAACCAGCGTGAAGGAGCACGGCTGGAAAGGGCCCAGCCCAGTGCCCTCTGTGTGCGGCACACCGGAGCCAGTGTTGCCATGGGGACAGGTCTGCCCAGGGTGCCATCCCTGGGGGTCTCTCTCCCCTCAGCCCTGCCCCGGTTTAAGACTTAGGATACTGGCCAGGAACTGTGGTGTTAAAGCACTGGGAGTTTCCAGGGGCTGGGGAACCTGTCGGGGGCACGGTGGCTGGGTCTGGAGCTGGGACAAAGTATGGGGAGGGGGACTCCAGGTCTAAGCCAGTTCCACGTCATCTGCCTCTCCTCACCCATGGGATGCTTGGCCCACCTCCTGCCATTCCTAGTGTCACCTCGGCCCACTCGGGGGAGGAGACAGTGCAGGCATAGGGCATGGGCCTGCAGGCACAAAGTTGTCTGGGGATGGGGTCCATGGGGCTCTAGAGGGCCGGGAGGGAGAGGGTGCTGAAGGGCAGGCAGTGGGGCTGCTGCAGGGGAGGAAACTCCGCTCCTGTCCGTCCCCTGGGAACCCAGAGAGCAAGTGGCCTCCACCCTCGGGGTAGGGGGTCTGCCCCACCAGCTCCTCTGCTCTGTGCAGGCAGCCCCTGCCGGTAGGGCATCTGCAGCTCGGGCCTGGTGGGGGTTTGCTGCCCACCGAGGTGAAACATGGGAGCACTGCGGGTCCGTGCCAGCACCTAGCAAGAGCACGGCCCCAATTGCACCCAACAGCAGCTGCGGGCGCCCCAGCCCCTGTCAAGCAGAAGTAAACCCGTTTCACGCTCCTCTCCCCTCCAGGGCACGTGAAGGTAATAAGAGCTGACGGCGCCCCTGACATTTCCCGCCGTCCCCTGAGCCAGGCAGCTTCTTGGCTCCCACAAAGTACCGCGCACGCCCCCACGCTGGCCGTGCACTCACGCCCCATCGCTCCCCCGCCCTCTCACACGCTCCCTTCCCCCGGGGGAGCTGTCCCGTGTCCGTGGCGATCAGCAGCTGGCGCAGCTCTGAGACCCTGGCTCAGGGTGGAGAATGAGGCCTGGTCTGCTCCAGTGGCTGAGTTCTTGGACCATCCCCCTCACCGAGTGCCCTGTGTCCTGGCACCGCCCCGGGTCCGAGCGCCGGCCGCATGAGCGTTAAAGCTGGAGGAACGCTTCTTGGACACGCTGGCCAGAGAAGGGGAAATGCGCCCTCCCCTCGCTCTGTGAAGTGCCCATGAATGTAGCAGTTGGTGAATTAGGACTAAAATGAGCCTGCGTGACAGGTGTGGGTGCCCTCTTTTGGCCTTTTAAAACCAAGGCTCCCTTGAGTGGGGTTTTCTGCAGACTGCAGCGGTTGGACTGGGGGGCACAGCCCCAGGCGTGTCTCTCCTGTGACCGGCAGGGCTGGGCAACGGGGAGTCTCCCTGCTGTCTGCTGCAGGGTTTCCTCCAACTCAAAGGCCTTCACAAAACACGCTCTGTATTCTTCCCCCCTCCTCTGCCTGGTGGTGCATGTAGGCACCTAGTGCACCAGGAACACATAAATGCGAGGACCTGAACTGCTCCACTCATTAAAGATCCCAAGAGTCCGGGGGTTAACCCCCGGGGCCTGACTCTGGTAAGTCGCTCTGCCTCCCTGAACTCCCCTGCAGTTTCAGTTGGCTGTGCCAGTCTTCACTTCCTAGCCTACAAACATACCCGTGTGCCGTGCTAAACAGCTGCTGCATCCCACCCAGAGGTGGCTGCGTTTACTTGGTGTGTGAATGATCCTGTATATAGTCTGTGGTGGCTTACAGGCTCTTCATGGCTAAAAGGCACTAGCCAGGCCCATGAGTCCTGATCTGCCCTCTCTTCTAGTCTACATCTAGCCACTTTCTTCACTGTGGTATCTGTGCCTTCCAGTCGTGCATTAAAAGCAATGAGACTAACATCCGTCCTGTATTTGCTCTTTTCAATCTCCCAGAGGGAGAAGCATGTGCAGAGCCGTGTTTGGTTTTGCGAGGGGGTTCGGTGTCTACAGATGCGTGTGTTGTTAGAACGGCGATAGCCAAGAAACGCACCTTGCGCTTGGAGCAGAAGGCGGGATGTTCATGCTGCAATCTCGGCCCATTTCTGCCCTGAGAAAGTTGTGTCTCCCGCATCGCCAAGCTCTGGCCTTATTACAGAGCGTTCCGCCGAGCCAGAGGAGCCTGGCCTGTCGCCCACCATCTTTGTCCCGGTGCGTTCGGCTCTTTCACAAACCCTGGGCCCAGGCCCTGTGGCACCGGGAAGAGAAGGCCCGAAACGGACCCTGGTTTGAAATCCTCTGGGCAGCTGGTGTCGAGAGCAGAGGGCAGGTGTGAGGGGCGCCAGAGCTGTCTTGCTGAGGAGACCTGCTGCTGCATCTGGCCCAGCTGGAGTTTCCTCAGTGCTGAAAGAACAGGAGGACTTGTGGCACCTTAGAGACTAACTAATTTATCTGAGCATAAGCTTTCGTGAGCTACAGCTCACTTTACCGGATGCTGAAGCCTCTGGTGCCCAGGCGTAGCTGGGTGTTTGAACAGCGCTTAATTCCCCTGCTCACACCTTTAGCACACTGAAAATAGGCCGGATCCTGTCCAAAATCCAGCCTGGGCCCTTCCCCAGTCAGCGTGCAGCCTCATCAGCTGAGTCCGCGCCAACTCTCGGAGCGTGAGGCTTCCCCCGGCCTGTCACATCTGTGACTGCACCAGAGAATGATGGCATTAACCTTTCCCAAGCACCCCCTTGGGCCCCTTCACGAGCGCTGTGCCTGGCTGGTTTCCTCGCCTTGTTTTCCTTGAGGCTGCGGGGCAGGGAGGGCCGGACACTACAGATTATCAGGGAGTCCGCCTGCCCCTCGGAGGAGGAGGAGCTTGGAGCAATTCTAGCCTCAATATTATATTATCTGGGGGGTCTTTTGTTCTGTTTTCATAGATTCGTAGATGTGAAGCTGGAATGGCCCACTCTGACCATGTGGTCTGCCTGCCTAGCAGTGCCCAGCTACACCACACAGTGGTTAGGACAGGTCGTGATCTCGCACGCAAGGCTTGGGGGTGAAAAGTGCACAAACCAGAAGGCAAATTCAATATAGCCCCAATTTATTACTGTGTAAAATCTCCTGATGTGTTGGGTCCAGTTCCTGCTTTCCCAGCGCTTGGGGCTGGAGCTACAGCCAGCAGGAAATTCCCTTTGAAACAGTGAATGAGCAGAACCCCCCCACCCCACCTATTAGGCAGAGTGGGCATGGGGGAGGCAGCCATGGGGTAACAGCCAGGCCAGGCCCAGCCAGGCCACTCTCAGCCTGGGATTGTGCCATCTTCTTACATACCACGGGACCCACGTGAAGGCCTGTGTCTGAGCAGCTGGGCAGGTGGAGAGCAGAGGCTGCAATCTAAGCCATGGAGAGGGAGGTGCAGTCTCCTGGCACAGGGCTGCTGCATCTGGAAGGGAAAACGGGACGGCCGGGGGCAGCGTTAGCAGTGGCTCAGGGATTCAGCTGCACCCCCAGAAACCATCCTGTGCTCCAGTGCCATGCAAGTTTGGCCCTGCCGTCCTCTGTCATGTGGAGGGGGAGGGTGGCTGAGCCAAATTTGAGGGAGTGGCGCTGCACCAGGTGACAATGCCCACTCAGAGCAGGGAGCCATGCCCACCCCTGCGGGACAGGACTACTCGTGGTAACCCGCCCGCAGAAGCCCCACGAACTCAAGCCCATCGACCCGGCTCAGTGCAGACAGACCCAGGGACACAGCTGGCCCCAGCAGCTGGTGTGATTCTTACAGAGCAAATCCTTGATGGGGTCTCTCCCTGCTCCAAGCCAGCTATAGGACGGAGGTGGTGACATGGCAGAAGGGTGGGAGACGAGAATCCCTCACCCCATCAAATCCTCCTCTAGAGACCTTTGCTCTCAGCACCAGCTGTGCAGTCCTAGGGGTCGGAGGTTGCTGCAGGGATCAGCTGTGGGGCCACGAAAGCCATTGCGAACGCTTAGATCGTACGTGAAACGATTCTGGAAGAGCCGGTCCGAACTGATCAGCAGGATTCTGCCTCATGTCTGCCCCGGTGCAGAAGGAGATGGCGTGAGTTTGGAGAGGAAAGAAAAAGAAGGCTTTCGAGGGAGTAAAGGCCGGAGCCGCGGGCCAGCCGGCCCGGGAGCGGGTCTCCCACAGCGGCCGGGGCCCGAGCCTCCGAGCCGGGCAGTGACCCGGCTCCTTCCCGCGGGCGGGCCCCGGGCTCAGCCGCGGCCCCGCTGGACAGCTCCGCCCCGGGGCCCCTGCCCGGCCCGGCGCCGCGATCCCCGCCGCCAGGGGCCGCTGCCGCCCCGCTCCCCGCCGCCCCGCCCCGCCGCTCCCGGCCCCGGCAGCCAGGCCGCGGCTCCCTCCCTCCCTCCCGCCCTGCGGGCCGCGCTCGCTCTGCTCCGCCCGGCAGCGGGGCCGGCCCGTGGCGAGGCGGCGCCGGGACTCTGCCCAGCCCGCAGCGGGAGCGGGGCTCGGCCGGGCCGGGCCCGCGGGAGCAGCCCCGCCCGGGGGGGCCATGGCCGAGCGGGCCGCTGCCCAGGTAAGAGCCCGGCGGGCGGGGGGGCCTCGAGAGCTTCTCCCCGCCCGGCCCGGGCTGCCCCGGGAGCGCGGTGCTGCCCGGCCGGGCTGGGGGGCCCCGGGGCGGGTCTGGGCTCCCCCCGCCCGGCCAGGGCTGCCCGCGGGCGGGGCGGTCCCGGCCCGTTTCTCCTGTTCCCGGGCGTGTGAACGGGGAGCGGAGTGAAACTGATCCTGGCCCCGGTCCGGTCTCCGAGCTCTGAACCCCCCGGGGGCTGGGTCCTGCTGCCCGGGGCAGGGGTTGGAAACCGGCCTCTCTGGCCTGGCGCTTTGGGGTCTCATTGTCCTTTGGGGCGGGGGAGGGGAAGCGCCCTGTTCCCTAGCCCAGCATTGCCAGAGGCCTTCGCTGACCCCCTGTGCCCCCCTGGGTGTGGGGCCAGCGTCCGGCGCCTCTGGAGAGCGGGGCAAGGTCTCTCCGTTCAGGCACCCCACACACAGGCCCGGTGAGCAGCCTGCGCCCTGGGTGTCCGTCCCGGCTGCCGGAGGCTGTCAGCAAGGGGGTGCATGCAATGGCAGCAGGGCAGAGAGCAATGCACGGGGTGTGAACCTGCTCGTTTCTGAGCTAGGGAGCAAGGTGTAGACTCTGCTTCTTCGGGCCCCAGTCCTAGAGCGACCATCACACAGAGAAAGGTAAATGCCCAAACCACAGCACGTTGTTCGGTGTTTGTAGGGCACCTGGCACAGAGGGGTCCTGGGCCCTGAGGGGGGCTCTTAGCCATTACCACAATACACACAGATAGTGTTTTCAGTTAGTGTTATCTGCTTTGTCTTCCCTTCCCTGCCTGCCCCTCCCTGTTCACCCCCACTCCAAATACCTGTTATCACTTTTCATCGTGCTATGTCTTAATGCTAGACCTAATGGTATGCTGAGCATCTCCTGAGAAACACAGAACAACCTCCACTTCTCCCAGAAGGTGCTCAGCTCTTCCCAGGATCCAGCCTTTAGCTGTAAGCTCTTTATGTCAGGGGTATTACCTGTGCCTGCCCCACACAGCCCCGTGCCTGTCTGTGGGGCTGTGTGGGTGGGGCTGGATTTCAGGCTGCAGCAATAAGATGCATTAGAATGGGAAAAGATAACAGAGAAGGGCAACAAAAATGATCAGGGATATGGAACAGCTTCTGTTTGAGGGGAGATTAAGAAGACTGGGGCTGTCCAGTTTAGATAAGGGGGGATATGACAGAGGTCTATAAAATCAGGACCGGTGTGGAGAAAGCGAATAGGGGAGTGTTATTTACTCCTTCTCATAATACAAGAGCCAGGGGTCACCTGATGAAATTAACAGGCAGCAGGTTTAAAACAAACCTAAGGAAGTATTTCTTCACACAACACACAGTCAACCTGGGGAACTTGTTGCCAGGGAATGTTTTGAAGGCGAAAAGTATAACAGGGTTCGCATAAGAATTAGATTTCAGAGTAGCAGCCGTGTTAGTCTGTATCCGCAAAAAAGAATTAGGTAAATTCATGGAGGACAGGTCCATCAATGGCTGTTAGCCAGGATGGTCAGGGACACAACCCCGTGCTCTGGGTGTCCCTAAACCTCCCACTGCCAGAAGCTAGGACTGGAGATTAGGAATCGATCGTTTGATAATGGCCATGTTCTGTTCATTCCCTCGGAAGCATCTGCTATGGCTGCTGTCGGAAGACAGGATACTGGGCTACATGGACCATTGGTCTGACCCACGATGGCCGTTCTTATGCTTAGGTGTAGAAATCTTGACAGTGCCCGTTTCAGTCAGGAGAGGCAGCTGGAACTGGGACTGTCGCAGCTTTACACCGGCTTCGTAGCATTACTGTCTCTCCGTCTCCAGGGGACCCAGCTCCCCGCCAGCACTGGTGAGTGGATGCAGAGCTTGGGGCTGAAAGTCCTCTACAGCTGAGACCAGCGGGGAGAAGTGACCTAGAGCGCAGCCCCCCGAACAAGCCAGAGCTGGAGCGATAGCGGACAATGCTCTAGCCCAGGGTTTCTCAGTCTGTGGGTCATGACCCAAGGCTGGAGCGCCAGAATGTCTGAAAGGGCCACGGGGCAGCTCCTGCAGCTCCAGTCTCGTGAGGCAGGCTGGGCTTGACTCCCCGCTCTGGGCACTGTGGTATCCAGGGCACAGTGCCGCTCGGGTTTGGCCCAGCTGCTCCTCCGTCATGACAATGGGGGGCCGGCCAAGCCGAAGCTGAGTGAGTGGTGCGGCAACCCCTGCGCCAGGTCACAAGGCCACTTGCACAGATTTGGCCCCCTTTAGCAGGGCACTGCGTGGTACTGCGACCCCGGAGGTCACGGCACCTGGAGCAGGGAGCTGAGCCCAGCCGGCCCTGCAGGACTGGAGCTGCTGCTGCAGGGTGAGTGTGCGGTGGGCTCTGCGCACCCACCCACAGGCCCTGAGCCCCCTTTCGGGGGCAGTTCTCAGCACCCCTCCCCCGGGCCTATTTACTGGGCTGCGACAGGGCATCAACTTTTACCAATGGGTCCTGGGCCAAAGAGGGTTGGGAAGTGCTGCTCTGGCCATCTCTCCCTGGCCACAAGGGCTCGGGGTGGTGCCCAGGGATCAGCAGCCCGGGCCCTAGGAGCTGTACGGTCGGAGCGGTGGCAGCCAGAACCCCAGCCAGGGAGCTGCAGTCAGGGGCAGCCAAACCCGCAGCCACCAGGGCCAAGGAGCAGGCGCAGACTCGACAGGCTGGTCTCCCCGCTTCAGATCCCCTGGGATTCGGCCCAGTTGTGCTGGAGTTAAGGAGAGAACAGCCAGATCGGTCAGGCTCCCCCAGGCCTCCTCGCAGCAATTCCGGGCCCCAGGGCAGAACAGTCAGTGGGCACGGCCAGGGCTTCCACATGCCTGCCCAGCTGCCTTCGCTGCCACCAGTACCAGCCCGTGCGCGCCCAGGAGCCCTGCGGCCCACCTGGGCAATTGCCACCCTCCCCCACCCCTGTCGGGGGGCCTAGGCTTCCCCATCCACCCAGTTAGATCCCCCAGCTCCATTCACCCTCCTGCCTCCTTCTCTCCCATTGTAAACATGTGTGACGCTTCCCAGGGTACCCAGGGTTGGGAGCCACTTTGCGAGCACCTGCCCTTAGCTGGGCTTGCTGTGGATCAGCTCCCTGAACCCACCAGCCTCTGGCAGCCCGAGCACTGCCCTCCAGGCCCCCACAGGCCTCGCTCTCTCCGCACAGGTTAGCGATAGGCGCTCACCAACCGCCGAGTCCTCGGAGCATCCTGCTGGAGCACCCAGCACTGAGCGCAGAGCTCTTGGATTCGCTGCTCCCAAAGGAGCAGAACACGCCCGCTCAGGGTCCCCGCTCTGCGTCACGCAGCTCCGGTAGACGTAGAGCGACAAGGAGGAGAAGTTTATAATCAGAGAACCGAGATTCAAGCGAGGGGCAGAAAGAATGTTGGAAACACACGGATACATATGAGACAAAATCAGAACACGCTCCCTAGCCCCTAAACAGGACTCCCAAAGCCTGGCCCTGGCTCCTGCGAGTAGCTGACTCCCCCCACCCTCCTCGTCCTTTCCCCAGCCTTTTGAACCGGTTTGGCTGAGACCCCTTCCCATAAGATCAAACCCGCTAGTGGTTTGTTCACATAGACAGAAGGAGAACTGGGGGTTTATCTGCACCCAGATCTAGTCTCGAGTTCATTGTCTTACTGTAAACAGGATAACCCCGGCTGTTCTTGTTTTGTCCAGCAACCTCTACAACCTAGTGACTAGCATTTTGCTCAGACTGTAAATGGCCGTCCATTGTGAGTCGTACAGTACTTAACTTGCATGTGACCAGCCCGAGTGAGATAAATGTCTCTTCCCCCCACTTGACAGGAGTTTGTGGATCACCTGTCAGTGACTTGCCTTAACTCACCACCCTAGAGAGCAGAGTTTTTAGCATAAAACAGAACTCTTCACCTATTTTCCGTAAATACATCTTGCAATAGTTATGGCGACCCTTCTGGCGCTGGCTTTTGTTAGAGACCTTACGTGATGTTTCTTGGCAGATGAGTAGGCAGATGCAGACCCAGGGGATCTCTGTGGCCCATATGTACCCAGGTGCCCTGGGGTCACAACATCCCCACTCCCTCCATATCCCCACATGTTGATCGAGAAATGGGGGGAAGGACAGCTCTGCCTTTCCAAGCCCCCACATCAAAAAGCCGCCTACGCTTCATGTATTAAACCCTGTGGAAATTCCACAAACCAAACCTTTGTCTAACAGGGTCTGGCTGGGTAGGTGTGACCCTCTCCCCCAAGGGAAATTAAAAGAAGCAAGGAAATGACAGTGTTTGAGGCTCCCCTTCACTGTACCCCACACTGCAGCTTTCCACAGACAGTGAGAGACTCGGCATCGTGCCAAGGAACTTGCTCCCGCCAGTGACCCAGAAATGCTCTTTGTGCACCCCATTCCTAGCACGTCCTTAACGGCAACCTTGTGCGTCCCCCATAGAGAGAGGACACCCCCTCCCTGCTGGTCCTGCGTGCACATGTCACAGTATCGGTGGAGGTGGCGGGGAAGGGTTTTGCGTTGCACTGGGGGAGGAATGTGCTGTGCGTCTCCACGAGGGAATTCTGTCCGCTGACGCAGGGCTAGGCGCTTAGCGGAAGTGCACTGTGTGGACGGCAGATTCAGAGGAGGCCGTTGGCCTTTCCTGGCTTTTCAGGGCTGGCTCTCTGGGGCATCTCACACTTGCTCAGCCTCAGTCCCTTTTAAGTGGAGTTTCGTTTGTGGAATAACGAGTCCCCCAGCTCCACTTACGTTTCTGTCCTTGCAAACAGGCTCCAGAATGGGACCCGGAGTCAAAGCACCCAATGCCTTTACAGTCCCGCTCTGACCCCAGACAGACTTCCGAGAGGGAGAGCCAGCTGCAGCCGGCAAAGCTTTCCATGTGGCCTGCAGTTGCTGCCATCCAAGCTGTGGACAGGACGGTGGATTCCCATGCCACGCGGTTGCTGACTCTGGAGAGGAGAATGGGAACAGCTGAGAAGAAATTAGTCGATTGTGAGAAAACGGTGATGCAATTTGAAAGCCAGCTGGAGAGTAAGTGGGCTGCGGTAGGAACTCTGATCCAGGGGTATGGACGGCTGCAGAGGAGGCTGGAGAACATGGAGAACCTGCTGAAGAACAGGAACTTCTGGATCCTGAGGCTTCCCCCAGGCACTAGGGGGGAGGTCCCCAAGGTAACGATACCCCAGCTGGTGCCGAGGGGCAGAACTAAATCATGTGCAGAGATTTTCAAGAGTCGGTGCCTAAAACTGGGTTCCTACCTTCATATTTAGGCAATGAATAAGTGGCCTGATTCTCCCAAGTGCTGAGCATCCCGCCGCTCCCATTGGAGTCCACGGGTGTTGCCTTGTGCTCAGCACTCTGGAAAATTGGGGTATTTATTCATTGCCTAAATATTGTCCCTTTGTGACCTGCGTGGCTAGTCAAAGTGCAGGGCCCTGCGGATGTTCCCGCTGGAAGGTAGGTATTGATGATGGAGTCTGTCAGGCTGGGGTTTTCTTGGACGCAGTCTTGTTTATTTGCGAGGAAGGCACAAATGGTCTCTGAGCGCAGGAGGCAGAAGGAGCAGTGTCTTAGCCAACAGCCTCCAGCCTCTGTAGCAGCACCAGACCCAAAGGAACTCTCTGGCTTTCTCCAGGGTCAGACACCAGGCTGTGGCTCGGTTTGCTTTCTCCCTCGGTCTCTCTCTTCATCTCTGCGTGTTCTCTCTCCCCTCGCACACACGCACGCCCTGACCCAAACAGACTTCTCCCCCCACTTGGTCCAAAACTCCTGGGTGGGTTCACAATCCCTTTTGTCTTAGGTTGGGGCTTGGGGGCAGCTGTGATTTATTTATCCTGATAGTTATGCTAGTTGAAAGATGTGTTCACACCCAGTTTCAAAGATGTGTGACCCATATCCCAGCCACCTCTTGGATAACAGGATGAATGTAAGAGCTTAACTTTTGACATCCACTTTTGAAACTCGTGGCCTCTTTCCCAGGTCAGTCTATTGAAAGATTTCTTTTCCCGTTGACATTCCATCCCCGCAGCAAGATTTCCCCAGTCAGGGCTGCGCGCTGGAGCGTGATTGCTCGTCTCTCTTCTGGAAGGACCCCAGAGTATGTTCTAACCAAGTTACAGAAACGTGCTACAATAGCGCCCAGGCGAATTGTGTTGACATGCTGCTCTGACGCTGTGTTGGCTGTTCCTTAGTCACTGGCCTAAAATGGTTTGGACGAAGGGAGTGATGTGATCTGGCTGCCAACCTGTGTGACGGTGCCTAAAATCACACTGGTTAGGAACACCGTGGCTGCGCTCGGCCCATTCCCTCCCCGCTGCAACTCCGTGGTGTCAGCACACAGCCATCAGTGCTCAGGCTCCGTATCAGAGTACAGGGTTCAAACGTCTGCAGGGGAGGAAGGACGGCCTAGGGCATCGGGCACTGAGCTGGGACTCAGGAGACCTGGGCTCAGTCCCAGGCTTCTTATGTGTCCTGGGGCAAGTCACTTAGCCGGTGTGTGCCTCAGTTCCCCATCTGTACAACGGGCATAACAGCACTGGCCTGCCTCACAGGCCTATTGTGAGGCTACACACATCCGACTGTGAAGTGTGGAGATACAATGGTGACGGGGACCATATAGGTACTTTGTTTAGGTTCAAATGTTGCTCCATATTTGCAGCCTCTGAGAACAAATTCTGTAGGCAAAACCTGAACAGAATCACTCCACAGGGACCTCCTGGCTCAGTTAATCGCTGGGGCCAGTGCCGGAAATTGCTTGATTGCATTATTTCTGGAGGATATACCACCAGATAGTAATTTAACCATAAATTCCTTTATTCAAGCCAAAGGCCAAATGGTATTTATGCAGTTGCTCCACCCGTGTCTAAAATGCTAAGCTATAAGCAGTTGCTACCCGGATCCAGTTGCTACCCGGATCCAGTGACATACATTCAGAAGCAGTTGACCAGAATATTCACAAAAAATACCCAGCCCGAGGGCTGCTCAAACCATTGCTGGCTGGCTCCACCTTGGGCAGGCAGGCAGGCAGTGGTAACGAACCCCTGAAGAGCTCACCCCTTTATACTCTAACAGACAAGTGATGTCATCACCAATTTCTAACTTTAGCTAAGTACCAGTATGGGGCACCTTTCCGCAAGATATGGCAGTGGGGCCTCTGTCGTTCTAATTGTCTTAAATGTATGGATCTTAAAGCTACCTGCACTGGCCTTTTCTCTTCTTCCGCAGGCCCGTGTTGTCAGATAGTGCTGGGGCGTTAAAGGTTACTGCTCTTTTATCACATGACAAAACACCTTCTCTTTTTGTGTTAGAACCAGTGTGTAAGCATTGCTTATCATTCAGAGGCCCCTCTTTCAAAAATCTCCTTTTTCATCTCATTAGCCACCTTCTAAGCTCAGCATCCTCTCCAGAATTGGTCTTGCCTACATGCCACGTTCTTTCTAACTTTTAAACCTATGCTTTCCAAAGCCTGTTCATGGCCACGAAAGCCCCTTTATTTTACTTAAACTACAAAACACATTTTCTTTAGCCAAGCTCATTTAACCCTTTCCATATCTATTTAATCTTACAGCCAGCGTGTTCCCTTGGATCAGCATGCAGAGAGGACCTTCTCCATGTCCCTGCCCACTTCCACACACAAAGCATGAGAGGCAGCTGCCTCCACGATGGCGTCTTCCCAGAGCCCTGCACAGCCCAGGAGTGGGGAAATCCCTGTGCAAGGGGTATGTGGGTAATGTGGAGTCCCCTAGCAGCCTGCTCCATTTGAGCTGTGCAGCCTGGCAGTTGGAGGACGGGATCCACGTGTTGCATGGATGGCGAGGGGGAAGCAGTCTCTGTCCTACCCCTCCACCTGACCAAATTCAGATTTTCCTTTCCAGCTCTGCTGGTGCAGGGGTGGGGCAGCATAGCCTCCTGCAGCTCTAGCTGTGATGTCTGGGGTGTTTTTACATGAAACCCATTTCTAGTCATTTTCCCAATAACAGTCAGGCGACATTGCTCCTCCCCATCTCTCCTGATTCATACGACAGGTGGGATTGACCCAGGAGGTACTGAGTGTGCAACGCTTGTGATTCCAGGTGCCGGTGACATTCGACGACGTCTCCGTCTATTTCAACGAGCAGGAGTGGGGGAGCTTAGAGGAATGGCAGAAGGAGCTTTACAAGAACGTGATGAAAGGGAATTATGAGGCCCTGATCTCCCTGGGTAATTCTTTTTTCTTCGCTCGATTACGAGAAGCCGTGAGATTGCTGAAGGTAGAGTTGGCTCCAGCTCAAGTTTACTCTCCAATTCCTTTCGTTCCGGGTGGATCGGTAGGTAAAACCCTTGTAGTGCGGGTCTTGGATTAAGGGCTCGTCTACCCTTAAAACACTTCAGCAGCACAGCTGTGCCATTGTACCGCTTCTGTGTAGACACTACCTGTGCCGACGGGAGGAATTCTCCTGCCAGCGTAGGTAATCCGCCTCCCTGAGGGGTGGTCACTGGGTCGACAGAAGACCTAGAGCTGTCTACATGTGGGCTTAGGTCGGCTTCACTACACCGCTTGGGGGGGGGATTTTTCACACCCTGACCGATGTAGTTAACCTGACCTAGTTTTCTAGTGTAGACCAGGCCTGACACAGAGCTGGTCTACACTTAAAACGTGCATTGGCATAACTATGTCTCTTTCTTTTTGCGAATACAGACTAACACGGCTGCTACTCTGAAATATGTCTTTTAGGGGTGTGAAAAATCCATACCCCGGAGAGCCATAGCTACGCTGGCCTGTCCCCTGGTGTAGACGACACTAGGAGGATGGAAGAATTCTTCCCTCCACGTAGCTACCCCCCCTCGGAGAGTTGGAGTAAGTGCGGTGATGGGAGAACCCCTCCCGTCGTGGTACTGAGGGACTGCACGGCCGCGGTAGAGTGACGCAGCTGCAGCGTGTTAGGTGTAGACGAATCCCCCCGGCAATGCTCTCCAGAGAAGGGGTGTGTTGACTGCACACGCACAGAGACTCTGGCTCTGTTGCGTTCGTCTCTAACCCCCGTGCTGACCGCAGCGGTTGTGTCAGCCTCAGGGAAACGTTTGCTGACCCAAGTGAACACCGTGCTGCCGAAAGGTGCCCTGCTGTAGCTGGAAGCACTGGAGGCCTCGCCGCTCCGCCCGTGTTCCTCACTCCTGGGATCTCTCGGCTTGAGCGGCCAGTTACTCGTTCTGACTGAGAAGGTGGGTTCTGCGACTGGGCCGCATGGAGACCCCGAGTCGCATTACACAGGTACTTCCCAACCAGCCGCCAGAGGGCAATGGCTTGTGTTCCCCACTGACCTGAGCTGGATTTGAGCCAGTCACCTAGGAGAGGTTTCAGAGTAACAGCCGTGCTAGTCTGTATTCGCAAAAAGAAAAGGAGGACTTGTGGCACCTTAGAGACTAACCAGTTTATTTGAGCATAAGCTTTTGTGAGCTACATGAAGTGAGCTGTGGCTCACGAAAGCTTATGCTCAAATAAACTGGTTAGTCTCTAAGGTGCCACAAGTCCTCCTTTTCTTTTCACCTAGGAGAGAGATTCTGTGGCCTGTCACTAATTGTATGGACCAGCCAGTTCCAACTCCAGATACTGCACCAAATTCACTGCGGGTGTGTGCAGGTCCACTCCCCTTTGCCCAGTGGGTTCTGAGTTGCCAGCTGCATTGCAACAGATGCAAATGGTGTCACAGATCCACAAGATCTGTGCTATACCCCGGCCTTTAACCGGCCCCTGGAAGGACCCGCTCAGTGCGCCAGACCCCCAGGGGGTCCCACTCTTCCACAAGGGGGGGCCATGCGGCCTCAGTGCCCCCAAGACTGAGACGCCTGTTTCTCACTGTGAGCTCTGCCCAGCAAGTCCAGCTGAGAGAGACCCCTGCTCAGGGACCAGTGCACGGCAGCAAGCGTGGCCAGGGCCGCCAGGCGCGGGAGCCGGGTTCATTAGCCAGCTGGAACACGCCTGGGGTAGTGCCGAGACCAGCAGTGCTGAGTTCAGACTGGCCAGCGCCGGGGCTCCCACGAGCCCTGCTGCCGTAGCCCCAACCTTCGCCGCCCTTGTCCCAGGCCTCTGAGCCGTCTCCTGCCGCCTCCGCCCCCTGGCTGCTGCTGCAGAGTCGGGCTGAGTTCACGTGTTCAGGGGTTGGGCCCCGTTCCCTTTCTGGATCCTCCAGCGAAATGGGTTCGTTCCTCTTAGTTCTGCAGCCTCCACAGTCAGCCCCACCAGTGCGGAATCGCAAGTCTTAACGGTTCCTAGCGGACAGGAAGCCGGAGCATCCGGAAAGCAGCTGAAGAGGGGAAAAGCCTGATACACATTAGGGATGTAAAAGGTTAACCGGTAAGCTTACCAGTTAACCAGGCTTACCAGTTAACTGTTAACCGCAGCGGCCACGCGCCGTGTCGGGATGGCAGGGGCAGGAACGGTCCTGGCTGCACCATGCCTAACTGGCTGGCCAGACCCCTGGCCCCAGCCACGCCGGACCCCGGCCGGACTGGCCCCAGGCCCCGCCATGCCAGGCCCACCCAGCTACCTCGGTTAACCAGATAAACAAAATAACTGTAATCGTTTAACCAGTTCACCTTTTTAACCAATATTTGCATCCCTAATACACATCATGTAATTAGTAGGAAGGAAAGGAATAATCCCGGGGGTTGACAGTGGACAGCAAATTCGATACCCCAAATGCACTGCCCAGTTCGCCCCAAGTTTTCCTTGGCTAAGATCCTGCACCTGAAATGTCAGGACATAACTGTACTTTGTGTGTCAGAGAACAGCCCCGGCGTCCCCAGGCTCCCTGGCGCCGTTGTATTGTAGAATAAATAGTGTCCAAATTAACCCGTCTGCCCCTCTGCAGGTGGCTCCCTGCGTGGCTTCTTGGTGCTTAATAAATAGGCATGTGGATTAATACTTCCTGTGCCCATGGCAGCCCCTTCCCTTAGGAGGAATCAGAGAGTCCCACCCATCAGAGGAACAGCGCCCTGCCTGGTGCAGCTTCTCTTCACATCACCTGTCGCCCCCAGCACTCGGGGGTTGGGTATTTCAGAGCATAGATAATGATCTGGAATGAGTATCCTACTGTGTGAATCAAACCCTGGAGCGTCTCTCTCCATCTGCAGACTACGCCATCTCCAAACCTGACCTTCTATCCCGGATTGAACGAGGGGAGGAGCCGTGTGTCGGGGATCAGGGTCGTTCAGAGGAGAGCGAGATCCCTGCAGACCCCAGCCCAGGTACCCTGAAACAGCTCAGAAATGAGCCCTGAGGTCTCTCGCTTCAGCTGGGTTCCCCGGGGTCCCGTTCCACTGACTGCCATAGCTGGAGGTGTGACTGCCTAGCAAACGTGCACAAGGAGTGAAGTCAAATGGCTCAGTCCAGTGAAAGCTTCACGAGCTCTTTCATTCCCTCTGTTTCAATGGGCACTTTTCTGACCCTTGTGCCAGGGACAGGAGAGAAGAGAGAAGACCTCTCTGGAAGGAGCAAGTGGGAAAAGGGCTCCTTTGAGAACCCAAAGCCCGGAACAACCCAGGGGCAGTTACACAATTTAACCCTGGCAGCCTGTGTGCTGCAGAACGTCCCGTGTCCTGAACGGGCTCTGAGACGGGACAGGCTCGTCCATCCCCCGGGGGAACCACTAGAACGAAGGGAAGCTGAAATTCTAGCAAGCTCTCAGAACGTGCAGCTCTTCCCCATAGGTGGATTTCTGTTGTCCTTGTCCCTAGCAAGTGCCATCTGCAGCCCTCCCCTCATCCCACCTCGGCCCCCTGCCCCCTTCCTGACCATTCTGGCATCGACCCCATCTGCAGCCCTCCATTTCCCCTCCCACCGGAGCTGCACTAGTGTCTGTTCAGAGCAGCCCCCTCTGAAAACCGATGCTGGCAGAGATGGGTTTGAAGCTCCTTGGCCCAGCTCTCAGCGGGGAGGAGAAACACGCAGCGTGTGTCTGCATTCAGGCTGGAAGGGGGAAGTGCCAGCCAAGGAGCTGGACCCGCGGGAGTTCTGCTCAAACAACAGAAGTGTAGCCGTGGGGGTGCACTGCGGGAGGGACTAGCTGCCCCGCGTACGATCTCATCTGAGCAATTACGGACGTATTTGGGGCAGCCAGCCCCTCCCACCGCCATGGCTACACGTCCAGCTCGAAAGTTGACATACCCTTAATACCCTTGGCTGGGATTTGGTAAACAGCCTAGCGACTTCGGGCTCCCACCTACAGTGCATGGGAACTGGGTGCCCAACTCCCCTAGGCTCCTTTGAAATCTGAGCCTTTCTCTTTCCTGTGAATAGAACCCCCCGTTTCTGCATCAGACATTTCATTGTGGATTAACCAGGAGGAGGAGGATCCGGGCTGTGGGGGCCAAGGGGTCTCTGGGGAAAATGAAATCAGTGGAAGCCCCTGCTCAGGTGAGTAATGGATTTCACCATCTCAGAGCTGCTGAGCGCAGTAATCACCCCGGAGCTCTTTTCTCTGCGCCCAGCCATCTCCAGGGACCAGCAGCCGTTTCCTCACCCTCTGGGCAGACTGTCACTGACGTCTGCATTGCTGTACCTGACTTCTGCTGGCTTGTCCCCCTGCCTTTCAATAGCACACAGCCTGCCTCCGCCTCGCCCCGTGTGGGGCTGGCAGTGCCCTGCAGGTGCTGGCAGGAAGCAGCCCCTCTGCTCAGGAGCTGGGACGGGACCTGCCCTGCGTGCACAGGATGCTGTCTCACTCCCTTGCCTCCAGCGTGGGAGCCTGACCCGTCTGGCCGTTAGTGTCCGTGCTCTGCGTTCGTTAAACCCAGCGGGGCGGGGGTGTCCTTTAGTGTGCTGGTCATTCAGCAAATCCCCTCCTTTGGAGCCGCCCAAACTTGTCTTTGGGCGGAGGAGGGGTCCAAAGCAAAGGTGGTCGGGCCTGAGCTCGGTGTTCGGATCTGGCCGAGAGCGGGGGAACGCGGTGTAATCCTCTTTGCCCTGAACAGAGTTTCAGATTGTCCCCCCTGCTGCCGTGTCCTGGGTTAAACGAGAAGAGGAGCCGTGTGCGCAGGATCGGCCGGTCTCTGGAGAAAGCAGAACCCCTGCAGGCCCCAGCCCTGGTGAGTAGCAGCCAAGACCACTGGGCACAGGGCGTGAGGGGACGAGCGGGGAATCCAGCTGGACCGTTTTACAATTTCTGCTCATCTGCTCTCAACTTCTGACATGTTGTTAGTTTACAGGCTGCAAGCCAGCCGCTCGCACCCCCTCCTGGCCCTGCCACCACCCAGTCCCATCGCTGAGCCTCTCCTCCTTTCCCTCTTTGGACAGTCTGACCACTGGTCTTAGCCCCTCGTTTTCTGCTGCCTCTTGATCCTCACAAACGCCTTTTGTATCCATTAAAAAGAGGTGTCTTCTCTCCTCCAGCAAAGAGCCAGTGCTGGCTTTAAACCCCTAACTCAGGGTTTAAGTGGGAGTAGAAACCAAACTGGAACGTAATCCCACAGGAGTGGAAGAGACCCCTAGGACCTGGAGTCCAGTCCCTGCTATCGCCGGCCACCCCAGCATGGAACTCGTTGCTGGAAGTTTGTTTATATCCCTGTTTTTTCAGGGTGGCACCAGATACAAGCATTTATGGCTAAATTAGTATTAAATCCAAGCGGAATTTGTACAGTTGCTCCAAACATGCCTAAAAGCCCCACTAGTCAGGAGTTGCTACCTCCAAACAGTGATGAACCTTGATAAGCCTGTACAGACATTGATCAAGGATACGCACAAAAAGGAGTCGACCCAGGGGTGCTCAAACCCACGCTGGCTGGCTCCCATGTGGACAGGCAGACACGGTAATGAACGAAGCTCACCCCTTTATACCCTTTCACAAACGAGTGATGTCCGATCACCTGCCGTTGTCTTCTCTAACGGCCAGGGATTAGGCAGTGTGGAGTTGTCCTTTCTCTGGCTTTGGCTAAAAAATGCTGGAGCAGTTGGCCAAGGAATTTTCCTTCTGACTTCATCAGCTCCAGTTCCGGTTTAATATTTCCCGCAGAGCGTACCCTGGTGCAGGCACGGCTGCTTCAACCCTCCTGTCACGCCTTCCCACAGCTGGGAAGTGCCTGCCCTGTACGGAGCCTGCAAAACCAGATTCTCTGTAGTCAAGTGCATCTAACCCTGAATAGACTAACCCGACTCGTTCAGAAACCTACAAGCTCCACCTTCAAACCCCTTTTTCTTGCCTCCGCTTCTGTCGAGAGCCCCCTCCGGGACGTCTGTCCCCTGATGGTTAAAACCCGTCTGCTAATTCTCAGCCTGCTCTTCCCTGTGAACAGAATCTCCTGCTCCAGCACCTGGCCTTTCCCCCTGTGTTAAACCGGAGCCAGAGCTGTGTGTGGGGACTCAGCCGGCTTTGGAGCAAAGGGGGCTCCCTGCAGAGCCCAGCGCAGGTGCGTGTTGGAGAGAAACCGCTTGGAACCAGTGAGTGCCGACAGGAGCTGGTCAGATCCAACTTCCAGCGCACTGCGACTGCAAACGGGCTGCCGGGATCATCAGGCCCCTCCCATCCCCTCCAGCACGGCCCCTCTGCCGGAGGGAGGGGGGTGGCGTAGGCCTGGCCATTCCAGCGTCACTCCACCTGGGGAATTCCCAGCAGGCCACGTAAGGCTGCTGTGCAAGCCCAGAGTCTCTCAAAGCAGCCTCATCGCTGGTGATCTCAAGGCCCAGGGCCAACCCCAGCACCTCAGGGAGACGGGGAAAACTTCCCCTCTGCCCTTCTCTAGGGGGAACAAAGGATTTATCGACCCCGAAGCGAGGCGGAGCCAGGTCCGGTAAACCAGCACCTTGATGAGTGTCCCCGCTCACTCCCCACGGCCAACTTCCTGGGACTTGACTCCAAAGCTGGAGCCCCTGAGTCGCAGAATTCCCTCCCTCCCCGGCAGGTGACGTGAATAACGGCTGCTTTCTTCTGCCCCGGCAGGTGACGAGATCCCGCTCCAACTTGCAGAGGAGCCTCGTGCCGAGGAGGGGGCGAGGGCCCAGGCCCCCCTGGGGGCGTCCAAAGGGACCAGGGTCCAGAGCCCCGGGGAGGGCCCTGCGGCTCGGCAGAGAAGCGTCCTAGGGAGGTCGGCTCAGGGCAAGAGGGGCATTGGGGAGCTCAGAGCGGCCGGGGGCCAGCAGAGAGCCGTGGGGGGCGAGCGGCCCGGCCCATGGCCCGAGCGTGGGAAGTGCTTGGGGCAGAAGCAGTCGCTGCTGAGCCCCAAGAGGAGCCAGCTGGCGGAGAAGCCCGCCAAGTGCAGGGAGTGCGGCGAGAGCGTCGGCCGGGTTCAACGCTGCCTCCAGGACCAGCACATGCCCCCGGGCAAGCTGCCCTTCACCTGCGCCGAGTGCCAGAAGCGCTTCCGCAAGAAGCGGCCCCTGCTCTTCCCCCCCGGGCCGCACCCGGCCGAGCAGCCCTTCTTCTGCCCCGCCTGCGGCAAGGCCTTCGGCCGGCGGGACACGCTCCTGGCTCACCAGCAGACCCACCTCTGAGAGCACAAGTCCGTTGCGCTGCCTGTGACCAGGGCTTTGTCGCCGCGGGGCACACGCAGCACCAGTGGGCGCCCGCCATGGGGGGCTGTCCCCCCAGTGCGGAAGGAGCTTCGCCCACCTGTGCCTCCTGGCCAAGCACCAGTGGGTCCCTCCAAGGGCATTCAGTGTGGACGGGGCTTTGCCCGCCAGGACAGCCTGGCACAGCACCAGAGGACTCGTCTCCTGCACGAGCCTGCCGAGGCCACCGCGGGGCTGGCAGCGGGGAGCCAGGGCCTCTCGGGCTGCACCGGCCCCTGAGCTGGGCTTGGCAACCCAACCCCCAACTGTGCCCACGTGACACGTGTTACATCCCACCCGTGCCAGGCGAGGCAGAGACCCTCCAGGAATAGAGTCCCTGGGGAGGGTTTGGGCCAGCTGGGCTGTGGCTGCCCACCCGAGCCCTGCAGAGAAACCATCTGTGCGGGGACAGGGCTTCCCACAGCTCCGTGGTGGGGAACGTGTCGGGTCGGAGCACTAAGAGGCCCAGCGCCCGCCGGGAGGAGCAGCCGCACTGCTCCTGAGCACGGGGAAGGTTAAACAGGGACACTGAGAATCCAGGCAGGAGCGTCGCTCGCTGTGGGAACATCCTTGGTCATACACCACGAGCCAGCTGGGCTGGTGCATTCGGGTCCCTTTGCGCACCCCTGTGTTCGGGCAGCACAAAGGGGCCGGAAAGCAGCCAGGTCGGGCCAGCTGAGAATCCCCGGGCATGGGGGAGCTCTCGGCTTGTGCACCGACTCCCGTGCCACCATGGCCCACCCAGCCCTGTACTGGGGGCTCAGCCAAAGCGCCCAGTGCCCCAGCTCTCCCCACTTTGCCCTGAACGCCGTGAGCCCTCCACACCTCTGACTATCCCCCAGGCAGGGGATTTGGTGCTTGTGGAAGATGCCAGGTTAAGCACGGCTGGACAGTGACAGTCTCCATCCCCAGAGCAGGCCTGGCACGTGTAGTGACCACGCCAGCGTCCCCACCAGGCCCTGCCGTTCTGGGGTGGATGGGCCGTTCCTAACTGCGGAGACTCCAGTGGGGTCTGGCTCGCACGCTCTGCCTGTTGGTAACTGGACAGTCTGACCAACGGGCTCGGGCAGGTCATCAAACGATGTCTGATGGTAACTTGGTCGGTACTGACCTGGGACCAGGTCACAGGAGTAAAGCGCCATCCCTTGTGACCAGTCCTCCCTGCTCCCAGCCACTTGGCTGCTCCGAAGTCATTGAGGCACAAGATCACGCACAGTGGAGAGGAACCGCGTGCGTGCACCGAGTGTGGGAAAAGCTCCTGGTATGAGCATCTCCCGGTTACCTGCCAAGAGTCACAGCAGGACGAGCTCCTCCTCAGGGACGGGCCCCTGGGCCTGCAGCAGGGAATCAAACCTGGGCCCCTCTGTTCCAAAGCAGAACAGGACTGGTCGCTCAGCCGTTCTGGTTTGACGGTAGAAATATCACAGCTGTTACCGGCTCAGAAACAGCTCAGGAATTTAACTCTTGGCGCTGGGAGAACCCAGCGGGTGTAGTTCTCCACTGCCTTGCACCCTCTGCAGTCTTTTCCCCCGTGCAAAGTGCGTGCAGAACGCTTCCGGATCAGCTTGCTGCAGCCTCTCCCCCTGGGCCAGTGGAAATGAGAGCAGAGGGTGCAAGGCTGTGGGGGGACAGGCCATGAGTTACAGTCATGGAGGGCAGGCTGTGTCCTGTAGTGGCAGGAGAATGGAGAACACCGAGGGACTCCTTGTTGGTACAGCGGCCGGCCACATTGATGAGAGGAGAAGGGAAGGGGGCCAGCTGGACTGTGGCTTGGTAGTGGAGCAGTTTGCAGGCTTGGCTCCAGATGGGGAAGGGTTCCACATGGAGCGGAAGGGGAGATAGGAGCCAGGTACTGTCCGGGGATGATCTTGCTCTTGGAATTATTAACAGTATTTGAAATTAATATGAGAGACCACCAAACACTAATTTAACCATAAATCCCTTTATTCAGGCCAAAAGGTATTTTATACAATTGTTCTCAATATGCCTAACAGCCTCAAGGATAAGCGGTCACTACACCCAATACAGTGACAAAGTATTCACAAGCATGTGGTCAATATATTTACAAACAGGCCAGACCCAGGGAAAACTCTCATATCCTGGCATGCACAGTCTGATTAGGTAGGGGCTGACAATGAGTCCTTTGTGACAAAGTCGGAATTTTTCATAATATGTTGTCTGAATAGTGTGTGTGCTTCAGTTTCCCTTCTGTGGTGCATGGGTAACTAGGTGGTGGGGAAAGGTGACCCTTGTAGAAGACCCAGAGATCCTGGTGGGACTGATGCCTGGCTGTCTGGGGCTTGGACCCAGACAATGGCCCGGCGATTTGGTAACTAGCAACTAACAACCAGGCCCACCCTCTGCAGGAAGCCAGCAGATTGTGACCAGCAGGGGAACAAAAGGCCTGCGGGGGAGGCCGGGTGACACTGTTTGCCCAAGAAGAAGAGCAAAGGATGGAGGAGGGGCTCTTGGGCTGCTGATAGCAGGACACTTCTGGACTGGGGGCCAGAGAGGGCTCAGGACTGACCAGGCAGACTGTGCTGTACAGCTTTGAGAACTCCGAACTTCCTACGCTGTGGTCCAGACATCTAATAAAACCCCTCTGCTTTTACAGCGCTGGCTGCATTGCTCCAGTTTAAACGAGGCGGGGGCGCATTGCTCCCTTAGGCTGTGTAGGGCTTCCCCATGTATCCAAGCCAGGCGGACTCACTGAGGGGAGCTCACGGTGGAAGCAGGAGGGCTGAAGGCTCTGAGGTGTGGTCCCATGAGGCGGGGAAGCCGAGGGGCTTACCTTAGTGAGAGAGTGAGACCCCGAGGGGGGGCTGACTCAAGGGGTCCTCCCAGGGACTGCTCTAGAACCCCAGACCTGTGGATCCGTGACACCCTCACATTCATAACTCCCTTTATCCCCTTCACCAAACAAAGCATACAACCTACCCCCTCCTTTCTTCCCCAGGCCTTTCCCCGGGTCTCTTCCCCTCCTTCCTGCTGCCCGCAGAACAGCAGGAGGGTTTGGGCTTGTTGCTTTTTAAACAGTTTGTCTTGTCACGGCAGCTCTTTATTTTATTCGTTACTTTTTGACCCATACACCCTGCCCACACTGCAAGTACTTCTGAATATTCTCATGACATCTTTTATTTGCTGATGGGGGCCTTTCCCTTACTAGCCCCAAACCATAAAGCAGACATTGTTTTCTTAACCAAACTAAGCTCTCTTTAATTCTTTCCATTGGATGCCTATCCCTACGACCCGTCTCCTGCAGTGGTGGACAGATGGCCCATTCTAATCGGCCCCGGACTAGACAGGCCATGGAGACAGCGCCGTTCCCCCTTGCGAGGCGAGGGAAGTTGGCACGGGTGTCACGCTGTGCCTGCTTTGTGGACAAAGCGCGGACTGTAGGCTCCAAGATTGTTGCTCTGGCACCGTTCACCAGCGCACTGAGGCGCCTTGGTGGCAGCAAGTCACCTCCCAGCCCCCTGCCACTGAGAAGGAGACCGGAAGCTGTGCAATCTTCCGCGCTCCCTAGCTGGGGATACCAGGGGTAGTTCACCTGCCTGCACGGCCGGAAAACGCCCCATGTTCCAGGCATGCAGCTAACGCAGTGAAGCCAGCGAGAGCTGATGGTGTTCAGGCACTTGCAGGAGCTGCCCATTTAGTTGCGATGACTGTGGGCCCAGTCCTGCAAACCCTTGCCCATGTATTACTTCCATGAGTGTTCCCCTTGAAGTCAACGGGCCACATCCTGTCAGTGTGAACTGCAGGTCCCTGGCCCAGTAGGAAGTCACCTGTGAGTCAGGGTTTGCAGGCTCAGGACACATGCACTGGAAAGCTGCATCCTGCTCTTTGCAATGCGGCTCCCCCAGGGTGAGCGCTGCTGAGGGACCAGCAGGAACATTCCCTTGGACAGGGCTCTGGTATCACCACCGGGTGCCTGACTGCGGTGGGAGCGGTGGTGCAGTCTCCACGCAGTGCGATTCCTCCTAGAGCCGTTGGTGTGCGAGCAGCCAGCGCCTGTCCCTCCAGTGACGAAGGGGGCGGGTTTAAAGCCATTTCATTTGCTTGGTAGCAGCTACTCCGTGAACAGTGACCGAGCTGCCTGCCCCTCCCTCCTCTGCCCGGGCAATGCCATTTCCAGTCCTGCTCCGCCAGCCCAGATGGAGTGTGTGGGGGAGCCACGTGTCGTGGCTCAGGCAAAGGGGAGCGAAATCCCTGCGCACCCCGGTGTGGGGGAGTTGCAGCAGGTGTCTCAAAGTGCTTTGCACTGGGGCCTGGGCCGCACTAAAAAGTTAGGTAGATGTAGACACGGCTAAGTCAACGGAAGAATTCTGCTCGACGTAGCTACGGCCTCGTGGGGAGGGGGCTTCAGTAGAGCGATGGGAAAACCTCTTCCGTCGCTGGGGGAAAGGCCTCCCTGCAGCGCCATAGCTGCGCCCCTGGACTCTGGCCATGTTCTTTCAGGGACATGCATCCGAGAGTGCTGAAGGAACTGGCGGCTGTGATTGCAGAGCCATTGGCCATTATCTTTGAAAACTCGTGGCGAACCGGGGAAGTCCCGGATGACTGGAAAAAGGCTAATGTAGTGCCAATCTTTAAAAAAGGGAAGAAGGACGATCCTGGGAACTACAGGCCAGTCAGCCTCACTTCAGTCCCTGGAAAAATCATGGAGCAGGTCCTCAAAGAATCAATCCTGAAGCACTTGCATGAGAGGAAAGTGATCAGGAACAGCCAGCATGGATTCACCAAGGGAAGGTCATGCCTGACTAATCTAATCGCCTTTTATGATGAGATTACTGGTTCTGTGGATGAAGGGAAAGCAGTGGATGTATTGTTTCTTGACTTTAGCAAAGCTTTTGACACGGTCTCCCACAGTATTCTTGTCAGCAAGTTAAGGAAGTATGGGCTGGATGAATGCACTACAAGGTGGGTAGAAAGCTGGCTAGATTGTCGGGCTCAACGGGTAGTGATCAATGGCTCCATATCTAGTTGGCAGCCGGTATCAAGTGGAGTACCCCAAGGGTCAGTCCTGGGGCCGGTTTTGTTCAATATCTTCATAAATGATCTGGAGGATGGTGTGGATTGCACTCTCAGCAAATTTGCGGATGATACTAAACTGGGAGGAGTGGTAGATACGCTGGAGGGGAGGGATAGGATACAGAAAGACCTAGACAAATTGGAGGATTGGGCCAAAAGAAATCTGATGAGGTTCAATAAGGATAAGTGCAGGGTCCTGCACTTAGGACGGAAGAACCCAATGCACAGCTACAGACTAGGGACCGAATGGCTAGGCAGCAGTTCTGCGGAAAAGGACCTAGGGGTGACAGTGGACGAGAAGCTGGATATGAGTCAGCAGTGTGCCCTTGTTGCCAAGAAGGCCAATGGCATTTTGGGATGTATAGGTAGGGGCATAGCGAGCAGATCGAGGGACGTGATCGTTCCCCTCTATTCGACATTGGTGAGGCCTCATCTGGAGTACTGTGTCCAGTTTTGGGCCCCACACTTCAAGAAGGATGTGGATAAATTGGAGAGAGTCCAGCGAAGGGCAACAAAAATGATTAGGGGTCTGGAACACATGAGTTATGAGGAGAGGCTGAGGGAGCTGGGATTGTTTAGCCTGCAGAAGAGAAGAATGAGGGGGGATTTGATAGCTGCTTTCAACTACCTGAAAGGGGGTTCCAAAGAGGATGGCTCTAGACTGTTCTCAATGGTAGCAGATGACAGAACGAGGAGTAATGGTCTCAAGTTGCAGTGGGGGAGGTTTAGATTGGATATTAGGAAAAACTTTTTCACTAAGAGGGTGGTGAAACACTGGAATGCGTTACCTAGGGAGGTGGTGGAATCTCCTTCCTTAGAGGTTTTTAAGGTCAGGCTTGACAAAGCCCTGGCTGGGATGATTTAACTGGGAATTGGTCCTGCTTTGAGCAGGGGGTTGGACTAGATGACCTTCTGGGGTCCCTTCCAACCCTGATATTCTATGATTCTATGATTTATAAAACACAAACCAGAAATCCAGGAGCTTGAGTTAGTTACATTTACCCCAAACACTTGGGTTTCCTCTATGGAAACTCAGTTAAGATGGGCAAACAACCTTAACTATGCCCCTCAGCCGCACCCGAAAAGAAAATCAGGAAGGCGGTCTGCCCTATCTATCCCGAACACACGTTTTCATCTGCACTGAGACTAGAATACATGACTCTCCATCATCTCTGCATTGTAGGTCTGCTAGCTCAGTGTCTGATGACACTTGGCTCACTGGCTGGTGTGGGGCAGCACGAGCCCAGGCCTGGGAAGTGCTGTGCTTTGCATGGAAGGTCCTTGGGCCCCCATAGCACCTCGCAGGATAGGGCCATCACTGAGTGGTGAACCTCTTTGCTGTTTGGCAAAGCAGGGCTTTGTAAAGCCTCGGCTAAGCTGAAGAGCTTTGTTCAGGGTGGGGAAGGCAGGCTGCCTTCCCAATGGTTGATGCTCCTGGATTTCTAGTGCTAAAAAAGAAGAATAAAAAAACTGCAGAACAGCCCTGACACAGGGGAGGCTGCAGTTTTCTTGCAGCCTTGATCGCTCCTGCACGTCCCCGTGCCCTCCATGGTTTCAAAACCCCAAACTAGGTCAAATCTCATGATCCCTTCCCAGGAGCATCCCAGCTGAGTTTCCGTTCCTGACTCAAGGCTACTGTACTGACTCTGTTGCATGAACTGAATAAATCTCTGGTTTCTCTCTTTCTTTCAGCAGCCGGCAGGATTGTGATCAAAGCTGAGGAGCAGCAAGTTGAGGAAAAGCCTGAAATCCTGGAGCTGACGACGACATTACTGGGAAGAGCAGACGACGAGGCTTTCCAGAGCCAAGGCCAGCCAGCAGAGAGTCTGTGCAGCTCAGAAGGGCAGCAGGGAGCTGGAGAGGGCCTGGAAGAGCCCACCGCACACGGGAGCAATCTGGGTGAATGCAAGCCAGGGGCAGTGCTGGAGGAAGCCCGTGCAGACCAAGGCCCATTTACACCTGCAGGCCATGGGCCAGGCGTCAGAATCGAGCAGCTCCCTCCCCTGCCCCAGAGAATCCTGACAGGAGGAAAACCCTGTAACTGCGCTGAATGCAGGGAAAGCTCTTGCCTCCAGCCCAGCCTCCGGAAGCACCAGCTGCCTCATGCCGGACAGGGGGCTAACGTCTGTGCCGAGTGTCGGCAAAGCTTTCGGCTGAAGAGGAGCCTTCTAGCACACCAGCGATCCCACGTGGGGGAGGGCAACGGGCCCTTCATTTGTCCCGCCTGCGGGAAGAACTTCGGCTGCCACCCGGCGCTCACACGACACCAGCGGCTGCATGGCGGGGAACGCCGGTACAAGTGCCCCGCGTGCCCAAAGAGCTTCCTGCAGAAGCGGCACCTTGCGGATCACACGCGGCTGCACACGGGGGAGCGGCCCTTTCCGTGCCCGGCCTGCGAGAAGACCTTCAACGAGAAGTCCAACCTCAACAAGCACTACCGGATCCACACGGGCGAGCGGCCCTACCCCTGCGCCCAGTGCGGCAAGAGCTTCATCCAGAAACACCATCTCCAGAAGCACCAGCGCGTCCACGGGGGGCCGAGGCCGCAGCAATGGGGGAGGTGGGGGGATGGCTTCCCGG